GCTAAGTTTAAGCTTGGCCTGCTGCTTGAACCTGCAACAGGAACACTCCCCTCCAACTGGCTAGATCACAGGACATTGGCCCCGTTCGCCTTGTTGAAACTTGGCTGAATTGGCTAAAAAAATATTGTTTTGGTTGAATTGTTGCGAGAGAAAAATACTGTTCCGGCTGAAAAAACAAATTGAATAGTACGGATTATAAGGTAAACCGAACGGGGCCACGTTCCCCATGCTCCTCGATGGCGCGGTCCTCAATGGGCTACCCGTGAAGAGAACCACTGGATTCTTACGCCCAAATCCAATATGTTGCACTGCTGCATATGGCTCCGACGACGAACCATGTGCCAAGGAATCACAAATGTTCCCGGAAGGAAGTTATTTCTCTGCGAGTTCACTGTTGTATTTCAGGGCTAGAGTTAACGTTGCCTAGCCCATCTGATACAACGGGTGCAACAGCCAACCCCCACAACTGGACCTGTCAGGTTTATTCGTTCCTCATTTCATGACACGTGTCCTGTTTTCTAACTTGAGGAAAACTATCGACCGCATGTTGGAAGGCAAGAAGGAGGGCGTTGCATTTGATAGAATAGCAGGACTAAAAACAAAAGCTATAGAGTGCAGCATACAAGAAGCAGCTGAGAAGGCAATTGAGGGTCTCTTCCGTATGAATTTGAATGAGTTCTCAGCAAAAGGACTATATCAAGTGGCCTGGTTTTCTAAACATGGTGCGGCGTTCTTTCAGGTGCACGATGCTGTTAGATATCTATTATCTGAGCATGGTGGGTGGTAGCCTTGTAGGGGCGCTATATATATTCCCATTCTAGGCAGGTTGGCCTATTACTACGTAATATACACTTTAATTTGCCGCTCTATTAAGGTCTAATAACTCACGAGCCTGATGCATGGCTAATGGGTGGACTAGACAGTGTGCTTGGTGTCCGTTGTATGGGTCATTGTAAGATGTTATTGCTTTCTCTTGGTTAATGCTATTTATATATCCATATATCGTACCCGCACTTTCGGTACAACTACACGGGGGCTGTGTTGTGTGCCAAGGACGACTGCGACCACCTCGACTGCCATGGTGGTCCATTCCTCGTTGTCTTTGCCGGGATGATCTATGACGATGATGATGACGATGATAAAGATTTACACACATGGGCATTGGGCAAGCATGTACTCATCAAAGACTGGTGCCTAGAGTGCCCGACCAACCCCATGATATAACAAACAAGTACATAGACGATATGAGACCTGGCCTTCTTATTGGAGATGCACTAGATGAAGGACCGAGGAGACAACCATAGGAGGAAGTGAATGGGAGCCAATTAAATCTTTCCAAAGAAACGTGGCCTATATCCTAATTCCGACTAGTGAAGTTGACCCTAGGAACAATTAGAAAATTTTCAAAGCGTTGCGGAAGCAAATTAGAAATATAGAGTACTCGAGAAAGATCAAACACAACTAACCTAGAGAGTGCTGTGTAGTAAGCAAAAAGAGGATCTCCTAAACTCTCGACCCTGAATTCGCTTAAACTTATTAGTCATGGTACGGTATTTTTCTCTCATAACAGATTAGCAAATAATACTTTTCAACCTTACTTTTCAACGAAACGAACAGGGCCAAAGGAAATTTAATATTGCAATGATGGGCTCATAATTTCTTGTAGTATTTCACGGTTGCTAGAACAGAGCATTCGACCAATCAAAGAACCATGCAAAAGCACTCGAACGAACAAAATAGATGGGACCTGCAACTTCCTCGGAGTACAGGACACAGCAGCAGTACGTGGAGGAAAAGTGCAGGCAGCAAGTTGTACGCTGGGAAACAGAGAACTGCACAGAACAGTTGCAAAGCAGAGTCAGCCTTTAGAGCTCCAACGACATCACCCAAAATACAAGATTTATTTCACATTTGAGTAGCACTGGTTCAATAATCATTTTTTTATTATCCAACAACAGAATCTAAAAGAGAACTCTTTCTGCAAATGAGTCTTCAGGAAAGAGAATATTCATATTTGGATTGTGAGTCTACTGCAACCTAAAATGCGTCTCGCATATAGATACTCCGTTGGAGACCAAATCAGTATCATTCAATACCTTTTTTGGTTTTGGTTACCTATGCGAGTAAGCTGTTGGAGACAGTCTCGGTCCGACGAAGATACAAAATTCAGCATCAGCAACAGTTATGCAGATGCAGTCTGACTTACACCAAAAAATTAAGACGAGACCAAATCAACTCCGAATAAATTCAGGTTTTGGAGAGGGGACTTCACAATCCTATGCAGTATCCATCAAAACTGAAAAAAAACTCTTCCGAAGAACGAAGATTTTGAAACTAATTTCAGAAAAAAAAACAAGACACCCTAGAAAGAGGAAATTTTGGGAAAAGTCACTGAATCAAGGTGCTCGTGAGGGGATTCTAGAGATTGATGAAAGGAATACCTGATCATACGTATATCCTAGCACTTATTTCCCCAAAATTTTCCACACCAAAATCGCAAGTCAAAAGTGAAGCACGAATTTTCCAAAAAAAATTGACAATGTAAGGTTAGCGCCGGGTTCATAAACCGGGGTTCCTCATGGACCTGGCTTCCCAACAAAGGCTCGGCCAACAGAGACAACATTTTAACGCACGCGCAACTCCCCGAGCCGCCCAAATATCTACACGACAGCCGAAGGGCGATCCAATCCCACCGGAAGGCTCGACCGAGGAGGAACGGCGCCCGCTTCCGACTACAGCCCGCCTCCAGACGGCCTCTCCGACCGGAAGGCTCGCCAAACACCACTTCCGACACGACCCGCGTCTCCGACGGGGATGCGCCAACCTCGCCATAGCTCTTCTCCAATTGGCGATGATCGAGCTAACTGGGACCAACCGACTGGGACGCCGCTCGGTGAGGACCAGAAAACGGACGGAGAAGGTAAGGCAGACACTCAAGTCAATCAGTAATACCGAGGACCGCATTACCTGTGACGCTCTGCAGGATAAAGACCTGCAACCTTCCCGACATGTAAGAACCCCAAGGTGTTGTGGGCGCCGATATTTTCCCTATAGTGTTGTGGGCGCCATCAACTCCCATACCAGCATAAACACGGTAAGGCTCCCCCACATGTCTCTCGGACATCAACAAGAGTTAAGGGCGCGCGGCATCTACCATACCGGGTGAACATGGTAAAACCCCCTACATGTCTCTGGGCATCAATAGTATGGCAGGCACCGATGTCTGCCATACCAGAAGAAGATGATGCAACCTCCCACATGCATCTGATATTAACAGTGTTATGGGTGCCTACAATCATCTTGTACCCAACGACGTGGGCAACAAGACTTAGCATACGTACACTCTCCCTCTCTCACTTGTAAGGTCATCATCTTCATCTATAAAAGGGGATACGCTCTCTCCCAAAAAGGGAGATCGATCAATTCACTCACACACCACAACGAGAACCACTAGGTTCAAACATCGAGCACACACTCGAACACTTAGCACATAGCGGAGCTTCCATCACTCTCGGCCCTTCAGACTAGAGTCCGACCAGACCTCTTGCACCCCCAATCTTTCTCCCTTTCGTTTGTAACCCCACAGTAAACTTCGAGCACCTGGGTTCAGGAATAAAGTCACCGACCGACTCAAACTGGACGTAGGGCATGTCGCCTGAACCAGTATAAACCATGTGTCATTGAGTGCTAGGCCACATCCGATCACAACGTACGGCAAAACTATAAATATTTACGTGTTGGTAACTTTCTGCACCGACAATTAGCGTCATTTCCCTTTTTATTCCGTGCACAGAATTACAGAATGATAATGCATGATGTCAATTTAGTTCAGATATGCATGAATCAGGCGATAAAATAAAAATCAAAATAGATGTTGATGAGGTGCACAGTAGCAGAATAATGTTAGTTTGAAAACCTGGCCTCCTGTGGGACGGTTGGCGGTAGCGGACGAAGAGAAAGGGCCTATTTTCTTTACTTACAGTTAACCAAGGATTCATTATGGAAATAATAGCAACAACCAAATTTTCGATGCTGTTGCAGATGATCTTATGACAGGCCTGGGCTGGACGATATTGAGCACGAACCATCTTGATTTAACTGTAACCTTCTTCAATCTTGGATGCTGTCAATTATGTAAGCCTTGTAGACAAACGTAAACAATCTAACAAGAATCATTATAGATATGTAAATGACCTGCCCCGTTTGGATCCATGAATTGAATTCATTTTAATAATCATAATTTAGACACAATTCATTAAGCTAATATATTTGTATATGAATTATATTTATATATTATTGTTAGCTATATGAGAGAGATACTTATGTGGTGCATTTCTATTATAAGAGAATGAGTTGAAGAGCATATTATAAGTTGCAAAGTAGAAACATAGGATGATAACCTATAGAATCAATTTACATCTCACCCTATAAATTTAGGATAGGCTTATATGTGAGCTTTGAAATGTAGTGGAATGTCAAATTCCAAACCAAATAACATAATTTATTAAGTAAATTTCAATTCCTCCAAATGAAATGATCCAAACGGCCCCTAATAAGAATCATCTTGGAATTGTGGATTTGTCTAAGCACAAGTATCATTTGAGTCCGGATGATTTACAAAAGGCAATCTGTCTGTAACAATACAATCTGAAGAACAAATCTGGCTCGCAGTTTCACAGAATACTGGGGAAGCAGTTTCGTGTACCAGTCAATGTACAATTGTACACTGAACATGGCACAACAGAATTACAAGAAACACATTCCGGTGAAACCATGTCTACACAAAAACACAGTCTCGCCAAAAACAGACTCTACAGCTCATCTATGTGTACCATGTCTACACAAAAACAGAGTCTCGCCAAAAACAGACTCTACAGCTCATCTATGTGTAAGTGCCAGCAAACTGACTGCCCAGGAAGAATCATGCCGCTGGTATACAGTAGGAGGTGCTGAGGGCTGGAGGAAGGACGCACACCAGGTGAGGTCCTGCTGGATTGCAGCTAATGTTTGCCTCTGCCCACCTCCGGGAGGCCCAGCTGCGGTGGGTGGACGTACCCAGACACCAGTGGCATACATGTCACCGTGATCTCCATCCTCGAACCTATGAGCAAGTGCAGTGTGATGTGAAAATTGTCAGTCTTTTCGTTTCAAATTGGATTGGAAGTCGTCATTCTCTGCCACAGACATGGATTGAAACATCTGGTACCATGGTTCTTACCTTGCTCATTTGACAACGATACGTGACCACATTTCCTCCCAGCAACCATCCAGTTCTGCGGGTTTGCCTCAACCTGATAAAGTATTTCGTTCTGCAACACAAAGTCCTAGTTTAGTTGTAAAGAAAACTTCCCATGGTTTTATCCTTTATAAGCTTACTTATTGACTGCATAAACAGTTAAACACTAAGGCACACTGCTGAGTGCTGACAGCATAATTGAGCAAGTTCTGGACTTACAACGGATATGGATGCATCCTCCGGGGTTTTCAGCCTTTCGACCCTCCACCTCATATTAACTAATTGCCCAACCCTCAGGCAGGCAGTAGAAAATGGAAGGAATCCAACTGCCAGACACGGATTCAGGACAGGTCGCTTCAGTTTGAGTGCGATCTTGAACAGAAGCTCTTCAGAATCACCAGGTTTGATAGGTATAGGAGAATGTGCTCCAGTTGTTCTGTCACCAGATATCCCATAAGTGATATTCAGCATGCTGTCTGCATTTTCTGCCTCATCCGCATCTAAAATATACCATGAAATCCATGTGTCAGTAGACAGTACTTGTTAACCCTAAGAGGATTGTAGCAATGGCAAACAATCGTAAGGGACAGCCAAAATAAAAGACAGACTATATGATAGACTTACCCTTTGTACCACTTAACCGTATCATGAATAAAATTCCAGCTTTGGAAGAAGGAGCAATAACCAGAGGGAATAAACTCAAAGCTGGCCGTCCATCTCCTTTGCCCAAGTGCTCAAATCCAGATTGAAGATCTAACCGTACATCCTTTACATGCAGTGTGGCCTTCACTTCAGAACGCAATATCACCTGAAATGAGCAGAATGCTAATTGAGATTAAACATGACCAGAAAAAGCTATTAACTATTATCATTTCAAATTGCAGAAATACACAATTATCATTGCCAGAATTTTTGCTAATGCTGCCGCTTAACACAATATCAGAACATGTCATGGGTGGCTTTGACAACAAGGTCAGCAACATGTAATAAAATTCACATATATGAGAAACCAACTTATGATTCAGCACATGTTCAAACATGCATAATATTTTGATAGGAAAAGAACTCTTTTTAGCACCTAAAAGGTGAAAATTGGTCAAGTTGTAGAAGTCACCTTGATGTGCATGCAAAGATCAAGTTTATATACTTTTTTTTGAGAGCCAACAAAGACTGTTACTTGCATGTTTCAAACTAAAGTACAAGTGTACGGGCACGTATTTGCATGTATTTGCAAGTCACCGATTTAGTGTTGCCATTGTCTGGTCAAACACATGGACCCATGTCCCATGGGCACCAGAAGCACCCAAATAGGCAAAAAAAATGTATGATTCATGGAAGCTTATGCCTTCCACAGAACTAGTGGCGGAGGAAGAAACTCAAAAAAAATTTCTTTGCTAGGGGGGCCAATAGTATTATTTAAAAAAAATGTTTGGATTACAAATCTTGTAGTGCAACAATTGCCACACATAAGCAATGACTCTCATGCACGTGCCAGACAGGAGAGAACTCTACCTGTAGAAGTAGACCTCCATCATTGCACTTGTCCACGACACGTGTGCTTACATGGAATGGGTTAGTAAAATGGACTGCAATGGTCCTGAAAATCACAATAGTAAACTTGTTGAATATATGTATCTAAAGGATCAATGTATTGAAAGGTATCTCATCTTTTCTCATACAATGACAGACATGACACAGCTCTTCTGCATATTCGAGTTAAAAAATAAAGAGATACCTTTCAAACACTTGATTATGGAAAACTCCAAACTCAAGCTTGAGAGCAATCATTCTCATCCCATCTACAACGCTCTGTTTCTGAGGAGACACTGAAACAAGGAGACAAAGAAAGGTCAACTAACTGATTGAAACATAACAAACATAGTGAATTTATCACTTGTTACATACAGACCTGGGGATTCTCCTCTGGTAATTGTATCATCAATAGCACGAACAGGAAACCAAACAAGAGTAGTCACATCACTAGCCCAATCTGGAAGTTTTATCTTTCCATTTTCGATAGGGATCTTTTCAACCTTTCCAGCTTCGATGGAGCCATTGGCAGAATTAGCACACTCCATATCACTTCCGTAAATTTCTATTTCAATCATCTGAGACTCCTCAATTTTAAGTTCCGCACCAGCATCGATATGCAATATGCCACCTTTTAATGAATAGTCTATTGACTTAACGATTAATCCAATCCATTGGAGCTCATTCATAAGCAACGCAGAGGACACAGCAGGTGTAATATCAACTAAAGCCCTTGGTTTTCTCACCTACAACAGAGAGACGAAAGCAATGAGAACATAGCTATCTTAAACAATATAACTAACCATGTTCACTAATTACAAGAAACCATGCCCCGATTTTGTTTTGGAAGTATAGCTAGTATCTCTTATTGGCAGATTAGTGACATGGGACTACGATTTTATACAACAGTTCAGGTCTTCAGCTCATTTTAGCAATTACCTTCAAAACAGGTCTTGTTGGCTTCTCAAAACTAATAAATTCATCAGTTTCAACTGGACCATCTTGAGAAAATCCATGCGATCTGAATGACAGTTTGCCAATCTGTCCAGTGAGAGCACCCAACACATAGGAGCCAGGCTTTTGAGGAGGAATGTCAAAAGAGATGATATTTCTACCTGGTACGAGAACATGAGAATCTGAACTTTTAATTGCCTGCATGGATGGTAACATTAAAACCGTTAGGTGACTGAAGAATATATTATGTACGGTCATTTCTCTAGGGTTTGGATATACTTTATCATAATAGTTTTGAATTATGAAATCTGTTCTGCAAGGATGAAACTGAATTTTACTTGAAAACATATTAGTGCATTCAAACCATGAATAACAGAATAAGACATGCCACAGAGGAAAAGGGTACCAATCAGTAATGCAGTACTTGTACCTTGATACCTTCATCTGCACTAGAAGAAGCTGACAATCTTAAACTGAGAGACTCCAGTGTGATGTCATCTGGGAAGCCACTCCAAACTGCTACAGATAGTGTACCAGGATCTCCATCACATAATTCTAGTGGTGGACCGGCATTTCCAGCAAATGTAATTAGTGACGAGACATCAAGGGGCACAAGATGTTTCATTTCACTGTGAGCAAGTTGAACAACTTCTGACTGGAAAGCTTGCCGCTCTTTAGATGAAAACAAGCCACTGTCCAGAGAAAGTAACTTTACACAAGAAGCCAAATAACCAGCTTCATCATTAAGAATCTTCTGGCATTCTGCAAGATCAGGAAGAACATCTGCCAGCAGCTCTTCCCAGCCTTCTGCAGAATAGAGAGCTAAACTTTCTCATAGGATTTCACAGCCAGGTCATAATTTCCATGCTTAAAGAACAGAGCTGCAATCTCTCCATCAAGAACAACTCCATGTCTTTTCCACCAAGAGCGGTGGTAATTGTCAGCTGCACCTTTAGTAAGCTCCATATATCTTTTCTGTAACACAAAAAAATTACCATTACAGTTCATCTTTATTGGAATATGTGGTCCAGTCATTGTCTCTAGATCAATAGTTCAAGGAAAACACAGAAGCATTATTAGGAAACTTAAAGTTCATAATGTGTATCTATTGTGATGAGCATGAATACACTACCTCAAATTCTTCTAGTGATGAAAGTGATGTCATAAAATCAGGATCTGATATCGTTTGTTTCAGTGCATGCTCAGCTGCAACATGAATTTCTGACAATCTCATGGGACGATCAACTGGCAGTGAAGTCTCGGACGTTGCTGGACCTGACATTGTTCTTGTCATTGAGTTAGAAGCAGATCTGTGGGGAGGAAGTTTTGAATTTGCATCTAAACCTGAACTGCCCAGACAAACATACACAAGTATGTAAGTAAATAGAAATTGTAATCTAAAGTCTTATACTGTAAAGATAAATGCATAACAATAGGGGAAATGATAGTCCTTACCCATCAGATGAATCATACAGCTCAGATAGATTTCCAACAGAGAGAAAAGCCCTGCGCCTATTAGCCTCACGTAGAAGTAAAGAAGGTTCTAATGGCAGAGGTTTCCTGTGAATGCTGAAGAGCTTTTCTCTTGATTTGACTTGAAGAATCATCTGCGAAGGAAAAGGATCCACAACTTTACATTTTGCAATAAGTGTGGCAGAAATGGATTTTGTATAACAAAGAACAGAGTAGCAAATATGAATCGGTATAGGACCTCACACTATAAAATTCCAGTGTTTAGCATTAAAATTAAAATTATTAAATCCATTGCATCCCATCTTTCATTAAATATAGAAATTGTCAGCAACAGCTTTGTGTTATCGTTCAATGGTCCTCACCAATACTTGTCTCCTGGATACGTTATCAGATCTATTATCCTATTTTCCATCAAATGTTTAGTTATATTTTTACCATTTGTGATTTGTCATGTACCACTAGATTTCACACGTGTGGGAAAAGGAATTTTTGCTGACAGTGAGGGGGCCCGGCCCTACATGCTAGAGAAGCTGTAATGGAACATGAAAACATGGAATATCAATTTCGCATAGTCAGTTTCCATATTTCATAGTCCATTTGGCAGCATTTTTTGTAGATTCGTTTTTTTAGCATACCAAATTACAGAGATGGACCAATTTCCAATATGTTAATGTTATCGGTTGGGAGGATATGGGCCAGTTAGGCTGAACAGGAGGGAAATGTGACTTTTGGTGTAAGAACTATCCACACAAAATGTAATTAGAAGCAATGAAGCAAAGCTGGAAAAAAAAAACTTGCCTTCTCCTTTTCCATTATTTCTGCTGACGAATCAGGAGGGATTGAAGGCCATGTAGCTGGCTTTGGCCATGGTAGCATGCTTAAAGATGCACTGGAAGCACATTAAAAGTCTCAGTTTGAATGCAAGATGGTATTGAGTAACTAAAATGTGCATCTGCAAACTTCATTAGGACTTAAAAGGACAGGAATGCAATCTATCTAATTTGACTAGCCGATGGAAAAGGCGAAGTCAGTAAATAAAGCAGCAGCATTGATCTTGTACCTGTTGACTGGACTCTTTTCTATCTCAACCCCATAACCAATCAAGTAAGCAAGCCTCATAAACTGCAATATTCATGAAGAGTGACATATAAACAAACAGTACTTTCTGCTGTATACAAATTCGGGGAACATAATCCAGAAGATAAGTAAAAGATCATGATGGCAAACTTGAACTATGGGGTATGAAGAAGCTAATAAACTACAATAAAAATACAATGGGGCGGCATTCGCCAATTTCTATCTTGAATTTAAAAGCCACAATGGTATATAAGTAACAGTAATGCAGTCATCCATTAGTAACTCAGGACCAATATAATAATGGTTTAACCAATGTAATTGGAGCCAATATAAGACAGTAAATCACTCATTGTGAATTTGTGATTGTACATTTACTTTCTTGGTAATCACTCAGGACCAATATAATAATGGTTTAACCAATGTAATTGGTAAGCCACAATGGCATATAAGTAATAGTAATGCGGTTTTTTCCAATCTTGCCAAAAAAAAAGATTGGGAGTAGGTTTTGGAAACTCTTGGAGATGCTCTAAATAAAAAAGAGTGATTACCAAGAAAGTAAATGACTCATTGTGAATTTGTGATTGTACATAAAGAATCCAAGTTATAGCTTCTGTTGTGTAGATAATGATCATGGTGCTAGGCAAATACTAAATAATTGGCAATTCAGATTTCTTTTATTTTATTGTTTAAACAAACCACATCAAGGTATGCTGCATGTACCAAGTGCGAAATGCAGCATTTGAGAATTTGCATGGATAAAAATAATCTTGAAGTACTAAATTGGCAGCTTAGATTTAATTAATTTAATTAAAATATTAAACACTCTTTTTTAAGTAGAGACCTTGGTTATTAGCCCTGGAGGCCTTACATTTGATTTAATATTACACTTCCTACATTCTGAATTTCCTGTGCAGCAGCTACCAAGCTATGTTAAGTACAGGAATCTTGAGAACATTCCTTAAAGCCTGAATGACTAGAAACTCATTCCTTAAAGCCCAATACCCAAGCTATTAAAAAGGAGGCCAAAAGATCCCACATTAGGTGGGTCTGGGAAAGGGGATTTCTAGACACCCTTACCCTTGCTTAATTTTGCAAGGAGGCAGTTTTGAACCCAAGACCTCCACCACAAGTGGAGAGACTACCACTGCAAAAGACTAGCCTTCCAGGAAAAAAAAAGAACTACCAAGCAATATTTGAATTATTGTTAGGGCTACTGAACTACAGATAGGAAAGCATAAAAGCAGAATTCAGAATAAAAATAAACCAGACAATCAACAGTGGCATAACATAAGTACAACAACTTGCCTTAACACGACAGAGGGAATAAAGATCACCCTGAAGACGATAGAACTCTTTCTCTGAGTCAATAGCAACAGATCCATCATCATAATGCGAACTTGTAGACTTTATCAAACCCAAGCATGCAGTTATCACCCATACTTCACGAAAGCAAAATGGTAGAGCATTCTGAATGAGAAAGGGTAAGCATAATCGGAATTAAATATGCAAGCACTTCAATGACAATAGTCTTCCCAGAACATAAATAACTCATATAGGAAAGAAACAGTAAAACAGTAGTTACATACTTCGTGCAAGGCTAGTGTCTTGGAAAAGCCAACAACAAAAGCATATCCTCTGGCAGCAACCTCAATTGAGCGAGACAATTTAAACAATAACTGCACAAAAGGTGAAATGAAAATAAATGATAAAGGATTAAAGGTGATAGATAGTTTTCAGTTGGTGTGACAATCATCAATATGAACAATAAAGCAAAACAAAGTCTAGCGTAACATTGGTACTTGCAAATATCACGATATATCTGAGCATAATGACAAACCTTTTGACATAAACATGAAAAGTGACAAGCTTGAAACTAGATCATTTAAAAACAGAAATCAGTTCTTTCATATTTATTCCACTAGCTCTAAAGACTGCCCACTTGTAACTGAAAGAAAACGAATACAATAGGTTGAGATGCTTGCAAACATATATTACTCCCTCCGTCCAGGAAAGAATACAATTCGAGCATAGGACCGAGTCAAACCATTTTGAGTTTGACCAAGTTTATACACAAAAGGTATTAATATTTATGATACCAAATAAGTGGCATTAGATTCGTCATGAAATATATCATCATAGTATACATATTTTGTGTTGTAAATATTTATAGTTTTTTCTTTTATATAACCCTGGTCAAACTTTAGAAAGTTTGACTAAGGCTAGAGCTAGAATTGCATCCTTCTCTGGACGGAGGTAGTAAATAGTAAGTAATAGTGTAACAATGCAGAAACCATTTCAGTGTAGCAAATTATCAACAAAACAGAAAGAATCCTTGCAGACACACAGATGTAAGACATTTTCCACCATATCTAGCTTGCAAGGTGCAACAACTGCAAAATCAACTATGTACAAACCTTAGCCTGGCAAGCAAATATGTATTGTCTAAACTCAAATTCTCTGAATACGTCATCCTGAACAATTTGGGTAAGTGCTTTGGCTCCTGGATTTAGCAGCACAGCCTGGTCATCACCAGTATCTAGTCCACCAAATTCACGGTGTTTCCCTGGAGAGTTCACTGCATTCATGGGAACAAGGTTATATTTATACTAAACAAGCAATAAAAAATAATTGACAATAAGTAGGGATGAAAACAGACGGAAAAAATCGCGTACCAACCGTTTCCGTTTTCTATGATATGATACCTTTCCGAATTTAGCCAAACATAAAAATTTGCCATTTTCAATTGGTTTCACAGCCATTTTCAACCATTTTTTGTAATCTTTAATTACTAAAATGTAGAAAAATCCGTACCGACCATTTCCGTTTTTTATATTGTAATACCATTTCCGACCGTTTCCATCCGTTTTCATCCCTAACTGCAATTGATATTTATTGAACTAGAAATTCTAAGACAAGAAAGAGAGGTATTCATTGATAACGAAATTATAGTTTTCAAATGACAAGAGTAAAAAAAATTACAAATGAGGAATTTTAAGGTGCATGTAAGAAATGCATGGTCATGGCACAACTACAATAATGTGAATACATGAAGTTACTGTAAGTTCATAAAGAAAACTTCATTACTAGCCTTATACTCAAACCCTGGTAGATAGGAACCAACGAACAAAGTATTTTTTTATACAAATCTACTATGAAGCTCAAAACTGAAGCAAGGTCATTGTCAGATAAAACTAGATATAAACCTGATTCTGAATAGCATAGTTCAAGTTCATCATATTCACGGAGTGAATCTTCATGAAGATTACTCAACTCAAACATGAATGCCAAGCTTTCCTGAACATTAATAAGGAAAGGAAGTCAAATAGAGTATCAGTGCCACTGAAAAATGTGGTTACAGCAGGCAAACATCACTGTGGTTGCATTATTGTACCTTAAGAATGAAGAAGTTGCAGAAGTTCCATATTGGAGTGAACCGTTGCTCACTTAACCTCCGTATTTCCTCTTCATAAAACTGAACCCGCCTATCCAAAGTGTTTCTGATGCAGTCCACCATTTTAGAGTCAAAATCGTCCCAGAATTCCTTGTCTGATCCATGGAGATCAAACTTGCAGCATCTATATCAGAAAATGAGCAATTTTTACACTGTCACTACTCACATTGTTTGTAGTAATGTTTTACCCAAGAGTCCATAGAGAATTCAAAAGTGGAAATAAGCTCATGAAAGAAAACATAACTGCAAAATAACAGCAAATGAAAAGCTGGGTTGGAACAACTGGAAAATTTTAACATATGCATTTTTTTTCCCAAACAAATACTATTGTGAAGAAGTCGTAACAAATACCTTTCTCTCTTTTTGGTGTTGAAATCAGCCTCCAGCCTAGCATATACTTTCTTTGCCATCTTAGTTGCTTGATCATTGCTAGGATGGGCCTTCGACACAAACACAATGAACCATTCTCGCTCATCGTTTTGAACAATTAATTTGAGGCGAGGCTTAAGAATGGTCTTGAATTCATCAAGATCCTGCACATTTTTATATAAATAAATAATTTTTTATATAAATAAATAAATGAACGGCAAAGTCATCCACATGGTCCATTTCACGAGTACTGTTGCTTGAAAACGAATCAAAAGGATTAGCATACAGTAGGATCAAGGGGGAATGTGGGTGGGGAGTACCTCACAAGTAACAAGAACAACAGTCGATAGGGCTCCCGCGCGAGAACAAGTATTGTTCTTGTGGGAATCGACTCCGTAGTCTTGAATCAGTAGTTTGTATAAACTCAGCTGGTAGATTGTCAACGAAAACAGGATTCCTTGCCTTGTTGTTGAGACAGGCCTTCTTCACTGGCACTCGTCTGTTCAAAACTTTCCTTGACATTTAGCCACAGGTCACTAACATCTTCAACTGTTACAAAAGGCAAATCAACATGTGAGAAGGAATTTGCACAAATATACAAACTTGAAAGCACTTCCATTGACAGCAAAGAAATAAAAACTATATAAGTCTACTTCAACTGTGATCCAAATTTACCCCTAGAGGGTTATTAGTCCATCCATGCTAGCTACCCATGCACACAGGTTGCAGCGCAGTAAGGTCCGGCGAGTGCATGCTCTTCCCTACTGTCAGAGCCTCTGTTCACGAAGCAAAGGAGGTGATGGAACAGCATATTACTAGTGATTTTACATGAGTACTTTCAGAGTAACATTGTAACTCGTCATGCAGGAAGAAGATTGAGCTACCAAAATGGCAAATCGAGACCTCTCACTGTTCATTCCTTGAGCAATCTGAAACTAGTGAAAGCAGAGAAAAGAAAAGCTTAACAAGTCTGAAACTATCACTACAGGCACTTAGATGCAACCAGCAGACACTCAGCTACACAACAATACAAAGACAAGGCACAGTAACACCATTCCTGCACGAATCTAGGCTCGTTTGGATCCTTCCAGATCACACAGCAGCGAGATCAGGCGGACCAAGCTACCCAGATCGCGCCCCAGCAACGACGCGTGAGTCGCGGCAGCGCAGTTCAGATCCTTGGGACTAGAATTAGGTTTTTGCAATTTAAAGGGGAGGCGGCAGGTTGGTACCGGCGATGACGATGCGGTCGCAGGTGGACTTGATGGTCTGGAACTGCGCGAGGTAGTTCGCCATGGCTGCCGGCCGAAGCGGCGTAGGAGGCGTAGGCGGAAAGTGATGGGCTCCGCGCCGGTACTAGTGCCCCATGCGGCCGCTACAGCTCCTGGGAGGTCGCCGGATGCGCGGGCGAGGCGCGGGGTCCCCGAGATGCGGAGGCGACGGGGAGTAGCGGGGGAGTCTGCTGAAGACGAAGGCGCTAAACGGGTCGGGTGCGCAGGAGTTGCGGTTACGGACTGAGAATACTGACAAGATGGACCCTCCGCTTGGGTGAACTGTCATGGAGTCGGCTCATTTGAGTTTGAATAATAATAAAAAAAAAGTGTTGTTATTCTATGATGCTGAATTTCTCCCATACCAAAGATGAATAGAAATTATCAAAAAGAGTGAAAAGATATAAATAACAATTAATATTTAAAAAACTCCTCAAATGATGATTTAACATGTGTTTGGTTTAAAGATGTGTTTGGATGGGATTGTTTCATCCTTGATTTTATGGATGAAATGGTTCCATTGTATGATTGGTTGAGAGGGATGAGACCATTTTTGTTCATCGAGCAAAGCTCTAGTGTTTTCATTTGGGTGAGCACCAGCCGTTACAGTGCAATGCCCACCTTTTCTTCGGTGACAGCTTTCGATGGCTATCCAATAGCTCAGCCAAGTAACAATCTCTCTAGAGCATCTCTCCAGAGGAGCACCGTGAGCACTCTGATGCTCCTTTAGAGAGTTCCAATGAATGGAAATCAATTGCACAGAAGCTCTTCTCTCCCTCTATGTAAGCATGCTAACTCCAATTTGTTTTCCCGAACCAAAAGGCCTTAAGTTAGCATTTTTAGAGGATATTGAAAAACATTTTCACTTGCATCTCACCACGTTGCTAGGTCTATAATATATGGAAGTTAATCATCATCTAGCGACACTAATTAACCATATTAGCTTTAGAGTTCCCCTCTTAACAGTACGACTATATATTCTAACCTGACCATGCACTCTATTGCATATCGACTGGTGAAATGAAAACCCCTAGCATATACTTTTGCCTCTGGGCTTGTTTTCATCTCCTTTTCTCCATGGGTAAGCACTTGCTTTATATGGCTTTATTTTCATCTCCATCACTATCATGTGAACACTAGTTCAATCATAACTTAGAAAACATTAGTCCGCTAGTTGTCACTTAGTTACTAAAATCAAAACTTGAGGCTTTCAACTATTTGGTAGAGATCTTAGGAGTTGATTCTCCCTTAGAATCACTCCTTATCAACCAAACAACAAAACTACATATAGATTATGATGGAAAGCACACAAGAATCATTTCTCTATTTACACTGGTATCTGGAGGTAAAAACATGTTACTCATTGCTCCATATTCATCAATTTTACCAAAATAACTCCAAAATCAAATTCTCTCCATACCATACCTCCACCAAAATCAATTGAAATCACTCCACTAAAAAAATCAATAAGCTATAGCTAAGAATAAAATAGTAGAGTTCTATCAAACATACCCTAAAGGGGCATTTGACAGACCTCGTTGGAGCTAATTCTCCCTAAGAATCACTCCTCCTCAGCGGTAAAATTGCGCATATATTCTGGTGGAGAGCAAACAAGAATCATTCTTCATCTACACTCGGAGTTAAAAAAAACCCTGCTTGTCGGGTTCATAAACCGGGGGTCCCCAATGGACCCGTTTCTCAGCAAAAACTCGGCCTAGCGAACGGCGTAGCGACAACGCGCGCCTCCCGAGCTGGCCCAGATACCTAATGATAGGTCGAGACAATGATCCGGTCCCCGACCTGAAGGCCTGGCCAAGGTGGGAACATAGTCCGACTCCGACCTCCTTTTTCGACCGGGGATACGCCGGACCTCTGCTCGCAGCTCTTCCCCGACCGACACGGTCGAGGCCGACCGGGAACGACCGACCGGGGACGCCTGCTCGGTGAGGGTCCGGGGATCAGGCGGAGCAAATAAGGTAAGACGTTCAAGTCAAACCGCAATACCGAGGACCGTACCCTGCCATACCCTGCGCACCTACAGGACGGTGCCACCAGGCCATGCCAGATAGGCACTATACAAACTTCTAGGTGTTTCAGAACCCAAACAGTATTGTAGGCGCTGACATTTCTTATACCAGACGAACATGGTAGAGCCTGCCACATGCATCTAGACATAAAACAATATTGTGGGCGCCGACGAACGTCTCGTACCCGACAGCGTGGGTAACAAGACTAGGTAGCACACGTATACATTCTCTCTTTTTTCTCTAACTTGTAAGAGCCCATCCCCTTCGACTATAAAAGGGGATGAGCTCTCTCCTAAAAAGAGATCTGGTTATTCTGACTCTGGCTCTCCTCAAAAAGAGAAGTTAGACGATTCAAGCACTCAAAGGACCTGAGAACTTGAATAACTCAATAGCTCTAGAACTCTAAAACTACACAGAGCATACGCTCCAATACTTAGCGCACGTTAGAGCCCCCGTCACTCTCGGCCCCTCGGTTTAGAGTCCGACCGGGCCTTTAACGTCCCTTCTTATTACTACTCGTTTGTAACCCCACAGCAAACTTCAAGCACCTAGGCTCAGAAATAAAGTCACCGACCGACTGAAACTGGACGTAGAGTACGTTGCCTGAACCAGTATAAAATCATGTGTTATTGAGTGCTAGGCCACATCCGATCACAACGCACTGCAAAACTATAAATATTTACTTGTTGATCATTTTCACACCGACACTGCTGCTCGTTGCTTCCTAATTAATCCCCACTAAAATCACTATAGGAAATTTTTTACCTACTCTCTATTCTTCTCCGCCACTAAAAAAACTTGCTTCTCCTTACTTCCTATTTAATCCTCACTAAAAATCACTCTAAATCAATTCTTATCCGTCTAAAATTAAGGGCTTGTCTGAGACTGTTCTATTCCACGGTTTTTTATTCTGCTCCATGTTTTTCAACAAAATAAGTGTAACTCCACAAACTCTACTCTTTTATTTTTTTGAACTACTCCACGTATAGTCCTAAACAAATCCTAGATAGAATGACTTCTCTACAACTAAAACATTCGTAATTATTTCATCCATATGTGCGACACTAAAGCCGCTCGCTCCCATGCATCCCTAGGTGCGATCCCGCGGCTTCGTAGTTTCTCCACGAGCCGTGCGTCTCTGTGAAATAGAAGGAAGGTAACCCGCGTCGTCGCACCCGCACGATCGCACCGTCGCCCTCTCCCGTCGTGATCCTCGGGTCCTTTCCTAATGGCGCACGGCCCCCTCTCCCCTGCTGACGGATAGGTCCTCTCACGCTTCCTTTGCAACGGGTGCATCAACCACTTCTCCATCTACGAGACACCACTCCCCATCTCTAGAATCGCGCTCAGGCTCGCCGACAAGAATCAGGTCTGTACTTTCCCATTGCATCTCAGACTCAACCCTCCCTATCGTGACCCGGATCCCTTCTGTTCTTGATTCGCTGTACAAGTTAGGATCTGAGTTAGTTAGGATCTGAGTTTCAGTTTGGAGCTCGTTTCTCTAATCTTGAATTGTAGTTTGGGCATCCAGGTTGTTATGTTGATGAGCTTCCCATTGACATTAGAATTTTATATTTCTTCTAGCATGTCCTTAGTCCTCACAGTTATACTGAAAGTCACAGTCCATTAGAATTTCAGGTTGAGAGGTGCTTATAACTATATACATCAATTAGGCATGGTATTTAGGCTTTGCAAATGTTGTTGAATTTGCTCGCTTAATGTTACTGCTACTTTTGAAATACTGACACTAAATTGAGCTTGGTAGGCGTTAATTCAAAAGCATCTGAGTCGTTTTTTCTTTCCCAAAATCATATTATAAATTCAGTAAAGTTGATTTCAGATATAGACATAGCACATCAGCTGGCTAATTTGTATATCGTGCAGCAGACTGAGGAAGATATGGGCCAACAAAGAAAAACAGAAAAGAAGTACCATAAAAAAGGACTTATATTGTACACCAATTCATATGGTAGAATGTATTTTACTTTCTGCTTGCAGTCTGCATGTTCTTTACTTCCATGCCTGTGTCTATCTTATTTTTTATTTTGCATTCTGAAGCACTTATTAGTGTCTTCCTACTTAAAATGTCCTCTATTGCCTTGTCAGACTTGTGCTATGGTGTATAGGGTTGTTTTGTATTTCTTTCATTTCAATGTCCTATATGTTAGCAAATGCATTGGGAAGGTCAATAAGTAATGGGCCTCAGGGTCACTCATGTGAAATCATTGTCAAGGTAGCACATGAATTTCCTAAAAAAACATGCCCCAATATCCTTCTACATTTTCAGACTATCATTTTTGCCAATCTTTTTGGAACCCACCTGGTTCAACTACACTACTGAAGTAGTTGTTGGGGTCAAAAAAAAAATATGTATGCATTGAGATTTCTATGAATTTTGTGTTGCATGGCTTCTTTGGACACTTTGTCATGTGGGTTACTCTATGTCTGTCCATCCTCTTATGTTTATGTTTTTCCTTAATATTGAGTGGCAGGATGCAGATGAAGTCCTTTGTCGTGCACCCATGTAGCCCTCCCTGAGTTAACGCCGTTGTCTCGCATTCACTGGGGTGGCCGGGTGGGAGTCGCTGCCCTCTTGCCACATCTGACGAAGATCTCCAATGATCTGGTGAGTAGGCTTGCTTTTGTCTCCTATACTAACGCCTTCGATTTGACATTAAGTTTTCAAACTTTATGTTAGTCAGGATAATACATTAGTGTAGTTTACTAGATTATCAATGTTATTGTTAGAATCAGGTAATAAGCAAGTAAGGGGGAAACTTTTGAGTACTACATGAATTTGACTTTTGATAGAGAAAGCCCATCTTCTTCGAATACACTGACATGATCCACTTTTGTTTGGAGAGTACAAGGTGAGTTTGCTATTGGTTGGAGAGTAATAGTTGAATAGATAATTTTAGTTTTCAAATGCGGTTATGTTGAGGAATACCTGCTTGATGCGACTAAATCATTTTAGCTATATCATGGGTCGACAAAAAATTATGGATGCAAAAAATTTCTATGCATTTTTTGTTGCATGGCTTCTTTGGCACTTTGTCATGTTGCAAGGCCTAACTATTTCGCTCTTTGCCGTGGTTTTGTTAACATGCATTCAAGTCATTTTCGCGAGATTTGACTATGAGATCCTGACTTTGTTGGTTGTATGTTATAGATTACTTTGATGGGTTGAGTAGCTCTTTGTACAACACTTCTGCAATATGTTCCTTGTCAGTGGTGGCTTTCTTGCCAGCTGTGGCTGCAATTTTACAGTTGAAATCATAAAATAGAAAACATGTTTGCCAATTGTATCAGAAAGAGTTTTCAGTATGTTACCACTCACCACAATCACTGGATGTTACCATTTCTGCCATTACATATTGGTAGGGCATCGTCGTACCAACATGAAGTGGAAGATGAATAAAATAATGTGAAGGATAGATCAATACTGTTATTTATATGGGATGAATTTCTTGTAATACCATCTTCTCTAACTTTACTGGAATATAATATAGGAAAGCTGCATTGAGAGTGCTGCCCTTTTATTGGGTATTGGCTTATAGATTTCTTTTACTGGTTATGGTTTAGAAAAGATGAGTATATATTTCAATGGTTTAAGGTGTTTTTCTTAAGGTGATAGATGGTTTTATTATGAAGACCGTTGAAGAAAAGCTGAGAAATTTAGTAAAATGCTACAATCACATAAAAAAATAACACTCACAGGCTAATATACATGATTAAACTTAAAATTACTATGATATTATTTTATTCCCGTTGCAACGCACGGATTTGATCCTAGGTACTAGAAAATTAAGGAGCAGAGTTAAAAAAAAATCGAGGCCTGAGTTCCCCAATCCCCACGGTAATAGAGATTGGGGTTCATTGCCATCTTTCTCGTGCTGTTGCCCGCAGGTCCCCAGCCTCTCCTGCTCTCCTGCCTCGCTGCCCGTTGCCGACGCCCACCTACCTAGAGGAGGACGCGGCGAGATCTGCTCGCGCCCGCGCCGAGGTGAGGAAAAAATTCACCTCCCGACCCAGCTCGGCAAAAATTACAGAGCTCTGCCACTCCTTCCTTTTCCCAGGCCCAGGCGCCTCTCCCTTCCTTCCCAGGCGTGACAGAGACGGACTGGTGCCGCCTCTGCCGGGGCTCGGTCCTCCCAGCCGAGCGCGCCTCCTCCGATCCTGCGACGACGGCGCCCAAGCTCCCGGCGCTCCCTTCCGCATCCCTGCTGCGAGCTGCCGGCAGGAGGTCGAGCCGTCGGTCGCCGGGAAGAGTTGGAGCCGCCAGGCGCCTTGAGAAGGTAGATTCGCCGGCAGAGGACCTGCTGGTGTAGCCGTCGGGCGCCGTGCGCCGGGCTCCGTTACATGGTCCAGCCGCCGGCCGTTGGGATCGGATGCATTATTTTTCTAAACTTTTTATTTGTTATGGCATCTGTTAGGGTTTTGTTCCGGGATGTCGTCGTCGGGGAAGATGGAGGGGCCGTCTGCCCCGGCAGTGCGTCGGGACCCCTACGAGGTGCTCAGCGTGCCCAGGGATTCCTCCGACCAGGAGATCAAGTCCGCCTACCGCAAGCTCGCACTCAAGTACGGTCTCAGTGGTCATTTTCGTTTGATATGCTGCTTTGATTTATGTTGTAGTGGAAGAGAGGAAAACCCAGATGCTACTCCATTAGTTTACCATAGCGCCTGTTTGGCAATAGCTCATAGAGAAGCTTCCATGCTAAATTCATGAGGAGCTCTGCCAAAGAATATGTTAGTGAGGAGGGAGTTCTCTGTTAAGTGATTGTTTTAAATAAAATAGAAGGCCAGGAACTGAAAAAAATAGCTTCTCCTGCTTTGCTTTCCACACAGAATCATTTTTTACGTAGAATTTATCTTAGCCGCAGAGAATCTCGAGCTGGAGGAGCTTTATTAAACAGGCCCTACATTATCTAGGTTAGTTAGCACTTGGCAGTTTGCAGCAGGGAAAATCATGTAGCATTGGTATGCAAATACTACCGCATCGCTAGATACATGCAATGGTTCAGTTTATACTTGATTCCTGGTACCTGGAAACAATGTTTTTTCTGATCGGCTTATCGTTCCTAATCGGTCTGGTACCGATTAGGACGATTAATCGACGATCAGGACGATTAATCGACCTCTGATCGGTCTAATCGTCCAGCATATAGCAGGACTATATAAGTATATATCATATATGTATGGTATATATATAATATACCATATACCATATACCATATACCATATACCATATATTTATATAGTAGACATCGAGCATATTTCTAGTTAGTTGGTTACTTACCTATGAGATTTGACTCCATATTCTTGTCCCAACCTCCATATGTTTGCTGATTTTCTGCAGGAATAATAGATAACTTGAGTAAGTAGATGCAAAAGAATAGTGTGACAGACTGACAGCATTACAGCAGCACACACTCAATCCAGATCCAGAAAGTAGGAATTAAGAAAACTAGCATAGTCCACAGCTTACTTAATATAGTACGAGTACAGAGTACATACTACAAACTAAATAATTAAACACTGCAAACAACATTCAGAGTTTTTAAGATAACACTAGCTGCCATTCAATCACCATTCAACAGCCATCTAAATCTAAATAAGCAAATCATCATCCAAATTGAAGCCTCCTCCTCCATCTCCACCCGAGTCTCCATCCACCTCCATTCCTACTTCAGCATTAGATGCATCTGGCTGAACTTGTGCTTCATGGTCATCATCTTCATCATCAGTGCTGATCGGCAAAGAGACCTAATCGGACGATTAATCGTGAGTAATCGACGATTAATCGGACAATCAGGTTTCTGATCGCTTTGATCGAATCGGAGGGCCTAATCAAGTGCTAAGTACCAATAAGGACGATTAATCGCGATTAATCGGACGATCAGAAAACATTGCCTGGAAATGGCCTTGATCTTAAAGTCATGAACAATCAACTAATGAATTAGCTACGAAATTTCAGTGTCTAATTATTTCTAATTCTCATTGTCCACATTTTAGCAATGATGAAATGACGAATACTCATAAGAGGTGCACTGAAATGATAACTTTTAGTTCCCACATCCGCTTCTTGATGAGAAAACAGTAAAAACCCATCAACGATAATCTTTTCAAGCGAATGCAAAGAACGTTTTTCAGGATTCAGATGGATGTATTTCATAGGATTTAATAATGCCATTCTTATTATGTTGAGTAGTTCCTATATTGGTAGAAAGATACCCCTTTCAATTTTTGTTTATTTGAGTTTAAAACTGTCGTTGCTTTTGATTAAACAGTGTTTTATCTGAACAAAAAATATTGGGATAATATTATGATTTTCTCTGTCTTCATATGTGACTGTTCCTGAAAAAAATGCATGTACTGGTTTAAGTTATGCTTATTATCATTCTATCTAGAATATACAACAACAACAACATAGCCTTTCAGTCCCAAGCAAGAATATATTCTATCTAGAATATACATGAAAAGAATTGCAAGCAGAAGTGTTACTGCTACTGATAGGCAGCGGTCCTTTGTGTCTCGTTGATCGGAGGTTGTAGCTGTGGGAGATTGGAGGGCGAGGTTTGAACGTCGCGCGGCGGCGGGGCGCCGTGGTCGCGCGAGTTCAGGAAGAGGCGGCTAGGGTTTAGGAAGAGGCGGCTAGGGTTTAGGACTCCCGGCTCCCTTCAGGAAGCCGGAAACAATCTGTTTCTGCTTGATCTCCAATAATCCTGATTACAAGTATTTATGCTAATGAATAATCCTTTTGCTAATTAACCCCTTGGCTATTTGCTAATAATATAAATCAGGAAATAAATATTATGGCTTATTAGCCACTACTTGGTGGCCGGCGCCTGGAGTCCTGCAGGCCGGTCATAACAGCTACACACAGTGTAATAGGAATCACTGTGAATATATTGTCTATGCAAGCTCCTAATAAAATGTAATAGCTATTCACTCGCTGTTCACACCATGTTGAGAGTCTATGGTAATGGCCATTGTAACTGATGTTTTTTGTTAAACGTTGGATCTATATATGTATATTCATTTACATAATTACATTCCAGACAATAGCAATCATTCCATAAACTACAAAGCATAAAAAAAAATTATAGGTAGCAGCAGTAAATGTACTTATATTTTCAGATCAACTTAGAAATTGATTTAGCACCAAAGCCAGTCAACCAAATTGATCAAATCATCAAGCATTTTTCTTCTGCTCTGCGTCACAGTCGCTCCCACACCACTGTGCACTTTGTGACCCTTCACATGAGAGGAGAGTGGTTGTGGTGAAACACTAGTGGGATGGAGTGAACACATGTATCTAATCACTTAAATCTTTTAAATACTTGGTGTTTTGTGTACTTGATGAGCTCAGATTTTTATAAGCTGTATGTAATAGCTGATAGAATCAGCTTATAACTTTTTGTTAGCTGGGTGGTTGGATAGTTCAAAATGGCTATATGCTGAGGTGTTTGGATGGGCTTCATTTTATTTTTGTGGCTATAAAATAAGCCTATCCAAACAGGCCCATTATCCGTTACGAGTACATGTGTGAGTAGACCTGTTTGTAGAACATTGCCCTCTCATATATGTTGTGCATTGCCGGCATGATTTTGGGCATGTTTGGTTCTTGCTCGATAGCTCACATTGCCTCACTGAGTGAGGAAATCGATTGGAATGAGCATTTGGTTGATTGGGAAGAATGGCCCGAGGCCTGTGCTGGTGAGATTTTGGCTTGCTTGCTCAGCAGAGTGATTTTAGCTCGCTTGAACCGGCAAGGCAAGCCTCGCGTGGGCGAGGTGAGGAAAAACTAGCCAGTGAACCAAACGTGCCCTTTAATGCTACTGTCCTTTTGTGGTCATATGATTTTTCATTCAGTTATGATGTAGTTCCATGGTCTTAAAACATCATATAATGTCATTCCATTGCATCCACCTTATTAGGGAATTTTTTCTGCTATTTGCATAGTTCCTGCTATATGCCTGCACTGTGTAGCATTGATGGATCCCTACCTTATTGGCTACTATGGATTGATCATCACAATTCTTATCTTCGTTGCTAGGTACCACCCTGACAAGAATTCTAGCAACCCAGAAGCATCAGAACTCTTCAAAGAAGTTGCATATTCTTATAGCATCTTGTCAGATCCTGAGAAAAGGAGGCAGTATGACACAGCTGGTTTTGAGGTGCTGTTCTATATTCGTTGAATCTACCATACAATGCTGCACTTATTTTTTTTATTTGTCAGGCCTGGTGCAGTGGTGAGAGCTGTCTCACTGAGTCACCAGGTCACGGGTTCGAAGCAGCCTCTCCGTAGATTTTACGGAGGGAAGGCTTGCCTAGGTTTTTCCCTTCCCCAGACCCCACCCATGTGGGAGCCTCCGTAATGGATAAGTCTCTGTGGTTTTTTTGTGGGGCTGCAGCTGTGCTCCTTGTGGCTGCATGGTGAAGGACAGCATCCTTGACTGGTCCTTGTGGTCTTGCTGCCCAAGGACAGCACAACACCCTTGACTAGCATCTTAGCATCTAGGACTAGCATCTAGGACAACATCTTAGACTAACATCTTGGCATATGCTTGGCTGGCTAGCAGCCTATAAATATGTATCCCCAACCCCTCAGGTTGGCATGGCATTGAGAAATAAACCAGAAAATTGTCCCAACACCTAATGTCATCCTCTTTCGATGAGAGTAAGAATTATGCTACTACCAAGAGTGAGAATTCAGCGACTAACAACCTGGTATCGAGCCGTACTATCTCAGATGCTCTGAGCATCTCCTGCTCATCTCCTCTCCCCACCACATTAACAGCCCAGTGCATGCGGCAAAGCTCCGCCCGCTCGCTCCTCCTCCACCACGGTGCAGGCAGCCCTCTCCCCACAGCAGCCCCCAGTAGCGCGTCATGTCCGAGACGCAGTCTTAGCCTTCAGTCGCCTCGAGCACGCTGGCGGCGTAGGAGGCCGAACTTGCAGCAGAGAACGCGAATGAAGCGGGCGGCAGACACAGCGGCGGCGGCAAAAGCGCCGAGGTCGGCAAGTGAGGCCGGGCAGCAGCCAGAGCGGAGGCGGCGAATGCGGCGCGCTGGCGCAATGTGGTCGAGGCTCGCAAGCGGCAAAGACGGCAGCTCCATTTCGCCGACGACACCGCCGACGGACCTCGAGCCGCTAGAGAGAGGCAAAGCGGCAGAAGGCGTGGCAGAATTGATGGCGTACCCACGACGCGCCACGCAGCGTGGCGGCAGCGCGAGACAGCGCGACGCTGGCGGCGCTCTGGAGGAGGCGCGCGGCGATGGCGCTCTGGGCAGCAAGACGCCACGAGCGCCGGGCGGCAGCCAGCGGCAGCGCGACGCGCGGCTGGGCGGCGCTCTGGTGGAGGCGCGCGCGCGGCGGCGCGCTCTGGAGGGAGGAGGCGAGGCGCGGCGGCGCGCGCGGAGAGGAGGCGCGCCGCGGCAGCGGTGGCGACGGGTCGATGGAGCGCGGCCTTCACAGCGGCGTGGCTCTCTCCCGGATCGGCACCGTGGTTACCACGGGCTCCAGTCGTTGTCGGGGACGCGTCGGTTCCGGCGGTGGGTGGCCTACCCTCACCAAGACCAACTTCACGCCGAGCGGGCTGCGGTGATGAGGGTAAAGCTCCAGTGCGGCACATGTGGGAGGCAATCCGACACGGCGACGTTGACTACGACCTAGATCGACGGGCATCTGGATGCCCTCATCGCCGCGAGCCCCGCCCGAGATGCGATTCTCGCTACCAACAAGCGGATCGCCAAGGAGGCTTGGGGCGCCATCGCTGCAAGACGCGGCAGCGGCGGCCGGCCGCAAGAAGTCCACACCGCAGCACTTCGCAGGAGGTGGGAGAACCCGCCTTCAAGCCGTGTGAGGACGTTGATGACTTTGCTCTCCGTCTCAACACTCTGCTGCGTAAGATGGTGCGATTCATGATGACACCTCTGGGCGAGGAGAGAGTTGTCGAAAAGCTCTTTCGGCTGCGCCCCCGAGAAGTACAAGCGGATGGCTCGCTCGATCGAAGTCTCTGCTGGATCTCTCACGATGTCGATCGAGGAGGTGATAGGTCGCCTCAAGGCCGGCGGCGGCGATGAGCCACGCGATCTCTCGGGGCCCATCACCATCTGGCGGTAAGCTCCTTTCACTCGGGAGCGGTGGCTTGCCAACCAAGGTGACCGGAAGAAGGGGGAGCCTTCTTCCGCGACAGGCGGTCGCAAGCGTGGCAAGAGACGCCAGTGCCGGGCGCGAGGGGCGCGCCGAGGGTGACGCCGGCGTGAGGCGCCAGGCGGCGCCGCCACGCCTGGCAAGCCGAAGACGAGACGGCGCCGCCGCAATCGCGCCCGGCTTGGCCATTGGGCCAAGGATCGCTGACAACCATGACACGGCCAGGCCCACGTCGCACAAGCGGAGGAGGAGCCGGCTCTGTTTATGGCACATGCAAGCATCGAGCTACCTCCAGCGGCACCGGCCGCAGCGGCCCTCCTCCACCTTGACGAGCCAAAAGCACACGCCCTCCTCGGCGATGGCTCTGGCAACGACAAGACTGACGGGTGGTGCTTCGACACCGGTGCCACCCACCACATGACCGGTCGACGGGAGTTCTTCACCGAGCTTGACTCTAGCGCCCGAGGCTCCGTCAAGTTTGGGGATGCCTCGGCGTGGAGATCAAGGCGTCGGCTCCGTCATCTTCACCGTGTCACGGTGAGCTGTGCTACTCTCACCGAGTCTACTACATCCCCGCGTTGAGGAACTCCATCATTAGTTTGGGACAGCTGGATGAGAACGGTTCGCGCATGGTGGTTGAGGACGGAGTCATGAGGATTTGGGATCGTCGTCGTCGCCTTCTTGCCAAGGTATCTAGAAGCGCAAATCGACTCTACGTCCTTAACATGCAGGTGGCACAACCCCTCTGTCTCGTTGTCCGTCGGGACGACGAGGCGTGGCAGTGGCACAAGCGTTTCGGGCACCTTCACTTTGAGGCCCTGAAGCGGCTCAGTGCCATGGAGATGGTGCGAGGCCTGCCGTGCCTCGACCATGTGGAGCAGCTCTGCGACGTCTGCGTGTTGACGACGCAGAGGCGACTCCCCTTTCCCCAGCGGGCGAGCTTTCGAGCCAAGGAGAGGCTCGAGCTTGTGCACGGGGACTTGTGTGGCCCGGTGACACCGGCCACACCGGGAGGACGACGCTACTTCCTGCTGCTCGTCGACCTCTCCCGCTACATGTGGGTGATGGTCATCGCCAAGAAGGGAGAGGTCATGACGCCATCAGCGCGCAAGCAGTCATTGTGGAGGCGGAGTCGCGGCCGCTTAAGTCTGCAGCGTCTCGCGCAAGACCGACAACGGTGGCGAATTCACGGCGGTGAATTTGCGTCGTCATCTACCGACGAGGGCATTCGGCCGCCACTACTCCGCTACCGTGACTGACCCAAAGAGAAAACGGCGTCGAGCGGGCGCAACCTGACGGTTGTGGGGATGGCTCGGGCCCTCCCTCAAGCGAGGGGATGTCGGTCATCTCTTCGGGGAGAGGCGGTGGTGACGGCCGTCTACATCCTCAACCGCCGCCTACCAAGGCACTCGGCGGCGGGGACGCCGTATGAGGCTTGGCATGGGCGCAAGTGGCGGTCTCCCACTTGCGGGTCTTTGGGCGCCTCGCGTTCGCCAAGGAGCTTAGCCACATCGCCAAGCTCGGCGGCAGGAGCACCGGGAGTGTTCATCGGCCACTACGCGGAGGGCTCGAAGGCCTACCGCATCCTCGACCAAGAGACACGGCTGTAGCGCGCGCAGCGCTGACGTTGTGTTCGACGAAGCGGCGAGGATGGGCGTGGGGACAAGCGGTGGACGACGGCTCGCTCCGACGCACGGCGACTTCACTGTCGAGTACGCCCACGCCGAGGGAGGCTGGGGAGTAGGCGGCTCCTCTTGGCAGCGCGTCTACCCCGATCCCGAAGCTTCCATCGACCCGGCGCTGCTATTCGGACAAAGACGCTCTCCGGCCAGACCTCGGCCGCGATGAGTTCTTCGCCGGCTCCACGCCCAAAGAACGCCACGCACTCAAAGACCGACAGCACCACTCCGGGCATGTCTACACCACCGGCTTCGTGTCGAGCACGGCCCGGTTGAGCTTCGCCACTCCGCTCTCTCACGACGAGGAGCACGCCGAGCGTACCACGACGGCGAGCCGTTGCGATGCGTCAGACGATGGAGAACCTTCTCGGCGACCGGTACGGTCTGCGGGACCGGTGCCTCACGACACAGAGGCGCAGATTGCACCTTGCGTGTGACGACGGCGAGCCTCGGTCGTTTGCAGAGGCCGAGAGACGCGCGGCATGGCGTGCGCCGCGATGCGATTGGAGATGGATGCGGTTGAGAAGAACCGCACTGGGAGCTTGACGACCTTCCTCGTGGTCACCGCGCGATCACCCTTAAGTGGGTGTACCTGGCGAAGAGGATGAAGCCGGTGCCATTGTCAAGCACAAGGCTCGCTTGGTGGCACGAGGTTTCAGGCAACGGGAGGGTCGACTTCGACGACGCCTTTGCTCCGTGGGCACGGATGGAGTCCGTCGCGACTCCTTGCGCTTAGCCGCCCGGGAGGCTGGCGTGTTCATCACATGGACGTCAAGTCGGCGTTCTTAACGGCGACTTGAAGGAGGAGGTCTCGTGCACCAACCCGGCGGGATTTGCGATCCCCGGCAAGGAGGGCAGGTGCTCCGCTGCGCGCAAAAGGCCCTCTATGGCTGCGGCGGCAGACCGAGGGCGTGGAATGCCGTCTGGATTCCACGCTAAAGGGATGGGCTTTGAGCAAAGCCCGCGACGAGGTGACCATCTGACCAAGCCGGGCGGTGGAGAAATGCTCACTGTTGGTGGGTGTCTACGTCGACGACTTGGTGATCACCGGCACCAAGGATGCGGAGGTGGCGGCATTCAAGGAAGAGATGAAGGCCACCTTCCGGATGAGTGACACAGGGCCTCTCTCCTTCTACACCCGGGAATCGAGGTGCACCGGGATGACTCGGGATCACGCCGACGGACCGCTTCACGCTAAGCGCGTCATTGAGCTATTGAGCTCACCGACGCTGCAACCCAGCTCTCACTCCGATGGAGGAGAGAGTGAAGGTCGAGCCGTGATAAACCGCACGGCGGAGGAGGTGGGCCTTCACGCAAGATCTTGGCGTCTTGTGGGGAGCCTTCGCTACCTCGCCCCACACGGCGGACACTGGCATTCTCCGTCGGCCACGTTAGTCGGATAATGCAATGACCGACAACGGAGCACCAAAGAAGGTCGTGAAGAGGATCATCCGCTACATTGCGGGGACTCGACCACGGCCTCTACTACCCTAGGTGCCACTGGGTGGCACGCCGTCGGGTCTGCTGACAATGACCACGCCTGGCGACATCGACACCAAAGAAGAGCACGGCGGGATCCTCTTCTTCCTCGGCAAGTGCCTCGTTAGGCTGGCAATCGGTCAAGCGGCAGGTGGTGGCCTGTCCGGTGCGAGGCCGAGTACATAGCGGCCTCCACCGCTTCGACTCAGCGCGCCTGCTCGCTCGACCGCTGGTGATCTCCTCGGCAGAGACACTAGAGCGGTGGAGCTCAGGGTGGACAGCAAGTCCGCTCTGGCCCTGGCAAAGAACCCCGTTTTCCATGAACGGAGTAAGCACATCCGGGTGAGGTACCACTTCATCCGAGGCTGTTTGGAGGAAGGGAGCATCAAGGCGAGCTACATCAACACCAACGACCAGCTTGCGGACCTGCTTACCAAGCCTCTTGGGAGGATCAAGTTCCTTGAGCTTTGCTCTAGGACCGGGATGGTTCAACTTTCCCACAAGACGACGCACAAGACTTAGGGAGAGAATAATTGATAAGTCTCTGTGGTTTTTTTGTGGGGCTGCAGCTGTGGTCCTTGTGGCTGCATGGTGAAGGACGGCATCCTTGACTGGTCCTTGTGGTCTTGCTGCCCAAGGACAGCACAACACCCTTGACTAGCATCTTAGCATCTAGGACAACATCTATGACAGCATCTTAGACTAGCATATTGACATATGCTTGGCTGGCTGGCAGCCTATAAATATGTATCCCCAACCCCTCAGGTTGGCATGGCATTGAGAAATAAACTAGAAAATTGTCCCAACACCTAGTGTCATCCTCTCTCGATGAGAGTAAGAATTCTGCTACTACCAAGAGTGAGAATTCAGCGACTAACACTCCGGCACTGGGTCTGCCCTTTTTTTTTGTTTTCTCTTAAATGCTTCTGTGGCCTCACATTTTTAGATCTGTCGGATTAAAGTTGCTAGATGCTATACCCCTTGTTTCGACTGTTTATTTTAAGCCCAAATGTGTCAAAATGATAGAGATTTACTTAGTCAGCATTGTTTTTAGATAGACCCCAGCATCCTTTGGTACCCGAACTCTTCAAGCATGTTTTGTTAGGAGATCTATTTTGTATAACATTATGAATTTCTTGGGTCCACAATGATTCTTTGTGTAAATTAATTAATTAATTTTTTTTTTGCCTTTTTATGTGACGATGAAGGGAGATACAGATATTATCTATGTAGGTTTAATTACTAGGTTGATAATGGGAAATGTTAGCACCAGCTCATAGCAATTGAAAATTGTCTCTAATAAATCCACCTTTCACTGGATTATAAAATTCTACATTTCACTTGAGGATTAGGAATAGTGTAAGTCGGAAGTAAAACCTAGCTGACGTAAGTCACCAGTTGTCATATGTGTATCTGTTTTGGGCAAGTCTGGTAAAGAAAGCCCTGCTTCTGCTTCTATTTTCTACTCTTGTAGATCTCACCAAGGTGAAGATAAGCGAGAGAAAATTGAGCAACAAAAGAGCACCAGAGATGCCCATTGTGTGCCATTTGTTAGATGGAAAGGAGATGGAAACAAGGTGAGGAGTGAGAAATATGAAAGTAAGGCTGAAGATCAATGGAGAGTGGAGGGAGGAGGGTAAATAGGTAGTGGTTGGACCACGGGCTTGAATTTCACATGCTTTGTCTTAAATAAAACTGTGTAATATATTCTTATTTAGTTGTCTAGTCATTGATTGAGAAGCATCTTGCCGTACCAGAGCCTCTTTGGCAACCTTGTATAGCACAGCAATGCCAAATTGGTACTGGGGCTACTTGTTATCATTTACCTGACCAAATCTCATTTTTGGATAAACTATGCCTGGTAATGATTGCAACCAGTTGTTTGGAGACTATTTTTTTTCTTAAACTAGACCATCAGGGAAGCATAATTAAGTTAGATCAGGTTATGGCATCCTGATGCACATTAGACATGAAAATTGACATTGGTACTTGTTATTTTGATGACATGTAAATTTAACACATACATGATTGCTGTGTTTCCATTAGTTAGCATTGTAATAAATCTCATTGAAATTGAGATTAAGTTTTGAGAGACCCTTGTTGCATTTCTTTTGTGTCAGGCGTTAGAAAATGAAGGAATGGATATGGAAATTGATTTGTCCAATCTTGGAACTGTAAACACAATGTTTGCAGCACTTTTTAGGTAATTGGAATCAGTTAGAATTACTATTTCTAGAAGTAATCAAAGGTCCACAGTTTCACTTTTCTAATTAATTTAACTACTTATAGCAAGCTTGGTGTTCCTATCAAGACCACAATATCTCCTACTGTGCTGGAAGGGGCTATGAATGGCACAGTTACAGTGAGACCACTCCCTGTTGAAACATCAGCTACGGGAAAGGTTCTGATACTACCTTTTCTTGTGAGAAACATCTACAATGTGGTCGTTATCTTATACCTTTTTTATTTGTAGGTTGACAAGCAATGTGCTCATTTTTTTGGCGTAACAATAAGTGAAGAACAAGCTCATTCTGGAATAGTCGTCAGAGTGACTTCACCTGCTCAAAGTAAATTTAAGGTAAGAGGTTGATTTTTTTTCATCATAAAAATCATTTCCCCTGGAACTAGAGCCTTGCTGTTTTTTTTTCGTGCCTTCTTCATTTTGTTATTTGTTTAATGCACAGCTTCTTTACTTCGAGCAAGAAGTTAATGGAGGTTATGGACTTGCTTTGCAGGTAATTTCTAATTGTGCTACTTTATTGTTTATATGCCTTGTTAGACTGGTATTAATTTTCAATAGGATGGCATCCACCATATATTTTTATCGTTTAATCCCCATTTTGTGGATTTGTGACTGTTCTGAATATATGTTCTATTAACAAAGAGATTGATAACGCTAGAGTTAATTGTAGTGAAAGAAATCTTGATTAGCTTTTTAGGGAATGTGCAGCCGCTATCATCATTATCATTATACCAATCTAATTTTGATACATTTAGATGCGTTCAAGTGCTACACAACCTGCCATTTTCAAGCCAGCTAAGCTAATAGCCTAATACCATGTCATTAAAATAAAGTTACTACCACTCATATCGTTTGCTTTCCTGATGTGTTAATGTGCTATGCCAATTTTCTAAACACATTTCAGGTGTAATGTTATGATTCCTGTTTCACATCTGAAGGCAGATGTGATCCTTGATCCAATTGGCATAGGAATTTAACTTAAGAACAAAATTCAACATTTTCTCAAATGAATGACACTGATTTATTGTATAGCGGGCACTTATTTTACTTGTCTTATATGTCTTCATTGGTCATAGATGTGACATGGATTACTTGTTTCACTTTTGTTTTAGGGCTTTGGGATATTTTTTCTATCTTTTTTTGTTCATTTCATTTACATTTTTGTCTGCTGGATGTTGTGTGAAAATGTGATGAAAGAAATTACTTGGATTCAATATATATTGCACATTGTTCTACAGGAACTGAGAATATAACACTATGCAGCACTAAGGAAATTTGTTTTCTAGTGCTGCTACTAATTATGCATTGATATTTCTAAGATCATGGTATGGTTATATAGTACAATTGGATAATGGTATAACTGTTATTTGATCAATTATTCTCCAGTTCTCTATTTTGTGTATGTTCATGGTACATTTTGGATAAGAATTTGGAGAAGATTTCCATTCAGAGTTCTAGTTTAATGCCATCTTCAGCTTTCCCTTTGACCTTCAGGAGGATAGTCAAAAGACTGGCAAGGTGACATCTGCAGGCATGTATTTCTTGCATTTCCAGGTGTACCGTATGGACTCAACAGTGAATGCGGTATGCAATTCTTTGTGTGCTGTTAGTTATTCTGTGATCATAACTGATTTTTAGATTTTTTTTTCTTACAACTACAGTTGGCAATGGCCAAAGATCCTGAAGCTGCCTTCTTTAAAAGGTTGGAAGGTCTCCAACCCTGTGAAGTGTCAGCTCTCAAAGCTGGAACCCATATATTTGCTGTATACGGTGTGCATTCTTGCCGTCTGCCTGTCTCTAACTCTCTATTTGTATTGGAGGCATTTCTTTGTCCTGAGCCATCCTAATTGATTTGTGCAGGTGACAATTTTTTCAAGCCAGCTAGCTATATAATTGAAGCGATGTGCGCAAAGAGTTATGAAGACACAACAGAGAGGCTGAAGGAAATAGAATCTAAAATTCTAGCGAAGCGGAATGATCTGCGTCAATTTGAAACTGAGTACAGAAAAGTCAGTCACTAAATTTTCGTTTTGTGATTAATCATGTGTTTAGGTGTGCTTCTGCATTTGAAGAAAGCTTTGACTTGGTAATATGGCTTTCAGGCTTTGGCACGGTTTCAAGAAGTCACCAACAGATATACACAGGAGAGAGAAGCGGTACACATATATGCCCCTCACCCTATCTAGATATGTTCTATTTGAAAAATGATATGATTGCAAGAGGCGTCCTACCTGTTGCCTCAAAAACTTTAGTCTAATTGAGGGTCACTCTAGTGCCAGATGCCCAGACCGATATTTAGTTATATAATGATACAAATAGTTGCCTATGTCATTGGTGTAGTGGTTTGTGGGTCTAAACACTAAAACTAGAGGTAAGTCACACTAAAACATAGATAGGCCGCTATAACTGTTAGGGAAGAATGACCTTACAACCAGTTCCACTCAGTCTAGGTTACAAGTATACATTAACATTAACAAGAGTACAGATAGGCCTACATGGGCCACGAAAGAAGAGAGAAGACTATATATGTCTATATACATTAACATTAACATTAACAAGAGTACAGATAGGCATAATTCAAGTGCTTTTACAGCTCAAATTTTGGTTGAAGTGTTTAGCAAACGTTTCACCTCCTTAAGCCATAAAAGCTAGTGCATGGAAACTTGGAAATAATATCACGTTGTCCTTGCTGATACCTTTTTATGGATAGCGTTCAGCGCTGTGTTAACTGGTTGAAGTTTGTGTAAAGATGATTATTGTAGGTATTATGTTACTTCACCTAAAGGGCTGGACATTTAATATGAGCAAATAAGTTTTCGACTACGAGTAATTATTGGGTGTAACTTGTTAAATCTGTTTAATAGTCATGAACTCGTATTAATTTTGTAATACCCTGATTATGCGGTATACCTTGACAAGAAGTTTGTCTGACTGACATTTGATATGAACATGTCAGAACATTCTGTTATACTATCTTCAGATTATGCCCTTTCTGGATTTGATCTGAACAAATGTTGCTAAAGAGTTGCAATATCTGCAGGTTGATGATATGCTGAGGGAGAGGGATAATATCCATTGCTCGTTCACAACTGAACGAACTTTGGTAAACCCTGTTGGTGCTGGTAGTAGCAGTAGTAGGTATACCGTCGAGCAGAGCATTCCCGAGAGCCCTGAGAATGGTAGCGTAGATGGCAGAGACAAATCTGGCAAAAAGAAGTGGTTTAATCTAAATCTTAATAGGTCCGACAAGAAAGCCTGATGAATCTTTTGCCAGAAACGTGTTCACTTTGTTGTACATTTTGGAAACCTTATTGTATTCATGCCTAATGAGATTTTTGGTTCCCAGTTCTCTGGGAGTTTTGTAGCATATAGGAGTTTGGGTACAGCATTCTATTTTCATGTATTATCCCAAGTGACTCTCCATTGCCCCCATGCCTCCCAGGCAAAGTTGCGTCGACATCTGAATTTGTGCAATCGCCTACCAAGTTAGGGGTAATATATATCATTGTTATAATTTGTTCTATCGTTTTAATGGTGGTTAGCCCGTTCAGTCTTTTTTTTTCTTTGCTTCCAAAGACTACTATACGTTTTTGTAACTGGAATGAAAGCTTGTCTGGAAAGCTGCCACTGCATTTGCTGTGGGCAGTGAACTTGTTCCCAGTTCCATTGGCTGGCGTAGTCTCTGGTTCTCTGCGCCATCCAAGTATCCAATTTGTTCCATTGTTCCTTAAGACGGTCTCAGTGGTGGTTAAACGCCCCTTTCCAGGTGTTGAAAGCAGGGCAAACAACTTTCATTCTCATGAAACTCATGTCATCTTATGAAACTTTTATCGTTTCTCTCTTCATTATACTATGTCATCAGCTTATTTCATGTTCATGTAACTCTTATTAAACTCTCATTGAGAATGGCCTTATAATTATTATAAAAAAAAGAGTTGCCAAAGGGTCGGTGTATGGATGGCAACGGGGATGTACCCGTTGGCTACCGCCGGAACGTTCTCTTCCCCGCTATGAAGAATTCATTCCGTCCCCATCCGCGTTAATTGTCTCGAGTATAGATTCTTGCCCATCCCCGTACCCGTCGGGCATTGGTCGGGTAACAGATACCCGACGGGTACTGCATACTTGATAAACAAGGACACTTGGGGTCGTAGCTTTGCAATCGGAGACGTTTCTTCTTCACCCGGATATAAGTGTCGGAATCTCGGAGATGCCGAGCAGAAGGAGCGAGGTTGCGAGGAGGACGAGCAAAGGTGGCAGAGAGACCGAACTGAGGAAGCGAGGGGCACGAGCGCTCGTGAGGCAGGCGTGCTTGTGCTGCTGGTGGAGATGGTGAGAAAAAATTGAACTAGGGTTCCTAGAACACACAAACTATATATATGATTGTTCAGATTTGGGCTAAAATACCTATGTTGAGCTTCTATGGGCCTAATACTCGCATGACAGCTCAAATAGTCGGGTTCCCCAACGGGTAACGGGGACGGGTAAACAGGGAACGTTCCCGTACCCGCTATACCCGTCGGGGATGGATTCTTATCCATTTAAATGCCCGTGGGTAAAGATGTGGCAGAACCTCCTAAGAAATCAGGCCCACGTGCACCTATCATTGTCTCCACAGACCTTTGATAGCGTACACAAGTTCCCAACAACTTAATAGGTCTGTCGGGTGTTCTCGGGAAACCCGAATCATCCACGAGTCTTTTCCAAACAGGATCCCAATCACAGTCATTGCAGATTACAACAGTTTACAATATACATACCAGAGATTGTAAAGCGGAAGACTTAAGTTTTAATATTACAAACCAGTTATTTCAAACTTACAAATCCATAAGTATCATACAACCATAGTAACGGGATAATATTACATTAACATTATTTATTTCACACAAACTAGTGCCTTGTCCAAAGGCCATTCATCATTCCTCATCGTCATCGACTTCAAATACTGACATGCAGCAGGGACCAAAACAAGCCTGCACATGCGACTCACCTGCAACAAGGGTTAACAAACCCTGAGTACAAAAGTACTCAACAAGACTGACCTGACGAAAAAGGGGCGAAGGTTTTAGGGATGCAGGTATTGGGTCAAGGTAAGGATGTAGCAAGATTCAAAAGTTCTTTGCCAAAAGCTTACTATTCTTGATCCTATTTTCGAATTTTATCCCTAAGTACTTTAGTTCATTCTCTCAAACTAAGTGTTCATATCCTATATTCCAATCTTTCTCATTCCATTCCTTTTTCTCTTGTTTTAGTAATTCACCAGTCCTGCATTGCTTCTGTAATGAATCGAGTCTCCATATCCGCGGAGCACCGGCAATTCGAATTGATTCAAGTTCTAGCTGGGGATTCCTTATCACACGACATATGTAGAACTTAATCTTGCATATATCAACCTCGCTACCGGATCCTCCTATACTAAGCCGTCTCCACGCCACCCAAGAGCATAGCACACCTCAAATCCGGCCACATTCCAGCCACAAGGGTACACGTTACTCCCGCCATCTCTCCACTCCCAGTGCGTGGGCATTCGTCTTAGCATCGGATTAGCCGAAGTAGGCTTACCGGAGTATGTGACCAGTACTACAAAGTGTCTCGTTTAGAAGATCCACAATGAGTGGCCTTTAAGCGACATAGTCGGCAACATTACCCAACATTCAAGATAAGTCACCCGACTAGTCTCTAGTTCATTCTATATTCTTTCTTTCTTTGGCCAGTATGCCATCTTTGATTGTATCGAAACTTTTACTTTGAAAGCCTACCATAAAGCATACTAAGCAATTCTACGCCTTTGTAAATGAAATCATCTTCAAGGATGGTAAACAATTAACAAGGTAGGCAATGCATCAAATAGGTAACATTTGAATTAATCAACTTAATGCAATAAGTAACATAGGTGATAAACTTTTCAAAGTAAACAAGGTAATGGTTTAATGCATAAACCGGGGCTTGCCTTCGTTGATGATCTCGGGTTCCGGATCAGTACCTCAAATATCAAATCCCGAGACAACCGGAGATTCTTCCACAACTTGCTCAACTAGAATCGGTTCACTCTCGGATTCTACACGAAATAATAACATATGCTTCAACATGATGATAATGTAAACATGATGCTTTCATGGTACATGAAATGTAATAACACCTTGAATACAACTTTCCTTCGCGATACAGTTGTAGATCAAAACCAATTGACACTAACATCTAGGGTTTATGACCTAAGTGACTTGACCAAATTGATCTTAAAACCCTACTAATTACAAAACATGACCCAAACAAGATCAAACCCTAAACCTAACACTTAGGGTTTGCTTTTATTCATTTTTGAATTAATTTGGAAATAAGCCCAAAAATGAACTTGTTCCAAATGACCTCAAAATTTTATATAAGCTTCCTCGTAACAAATTAGTGTACCAAAACAAATTTCATAATTTTTGAAGTTATACAGTGGCCTACAAAAATTATGGAAATTGCATTTATCAATTAATTGACTAAATTTTTGAACATTAAAAATTTATTCAAATTTCAAGTCACGGGGAAGAACGTGTTGCGCCGGGCGATTCCGGCCAACCCAAGCGATGTGAGCAAGCCGAAGAGGAGCGCAAGGTCGAGGCGATCACGCTGGTGTAGCTAGGCACGACGGACGCGGTTCGACGGCGGCTACGGCGAGCGGCAGAGCTGATCGGTGGTGGAGCAGAGCAGAGAGGAAAAAGGAGGATGACGGCGACGGTGGTGCTCTTATTTATAGCAGGGAAGGACGCGTCCGACGTCGACAGCTCACGCACGAGCTCGCCACGGAGCCTGCTGCGTGTCACCATACGAGAAAGCGGCGAAAAACGATCGGCGGTGGCAGCTGCGTGGCGCCGGCGGCAAGCAGGGAGGTGGCGCTCGGCTTGGTTTTGATTTTTGAAGTATTTACAGAATTGCCACTGCGTTTATTTTGCAAATTACTCACAAATTTTCTAAAGAAGTTGAAAATCTCCAAAAATAAAAGTTGCTCAACTTTTCAAACTCTACAACTTTGCTTCAAGGAACATTTTCAAATTCTGGCTCCATTTTGAAATTTAAATTTGGGGTGCATTTGAGCATTTGAATCATTTCAAAATTACTCCAAATTTTATATGTAAACTTTAAAAACTTTGAATACCAAAGTTGATCCTTATTAAATAAGCTTCAACTTTGGTTTTTGTTATACCCCCAAATTCCAAATAGATTTTGAATTAGACAAAAGGGGTAAAAAGGACTTTTATGGTTTGAAATTGAATTCAAATTTGATTTGTATACCTTTTCACTTAACTATGATTTTTGACCAATAACATGGCCCATTAGAGTTATTTGAGTCAAATGACACATGGTCTCACATGATCACACGCAATTTGACCCTTGTGGTAATTATTTTCATTTGGAGTTTTGGATCACATTACATCACATAAAATAACAACTTATGAAATAAAGCTTATTTAGTGAATGCATTCAAAATTTTCTACTTTATGAATGCTTTGCAATGCATATGATGACATATCAAGTTTTAATGCTAGGTTAAAACACCAGAGGTGTTACAAAAGATATGATCCCATCCCCGTCCCCTAATGGATCAAATACCCGTCGGGTATCGGGTATCGGGTATCGGGGGCCCGTTTCCATCTTTAGGTCGGTGTGCACCCTTTAACCCACCGGCTCACCTCCTCTCTTCGAGTCTGTCTTCTTCCCCCTCCCTCACTATCATTTGGGCTTTGATGGTGGTCATGCCGCCACCCTGCATTGTTCAACCGATCTCTCCCACTGTCTGTCCTGTCGATGTTTTGACCGCCACCACCATCAGGCCCCCTTCTAAGCCGATAGCCATATACCCCCCCTCTAGCTCCTTGTCTCCGGCTGCAATGAGTTTTTGTTGTCTTCTAGTGGGTGTATGCCAAGTGTCTCTGCACCCGTGTTTGGGAAAAAAACATTTACTTAGAAAAAAACCTTATTTGATTGTTGTAGTTGCCATTACTACAAACCCTAGATATCCTTACCGCAAGAGAAACTGTCCAAATGGGACACGCTAGGCCGAGCATGCTACATAGGAGGCTCAAATTGGACGAGTATCTCGACTACTTGATGGACAAGGCGTAGACTAGATATACTTAGAAGTTAATCAATCCGTAAGGAGGTGTTCGGTTTGTGGAATAAAATAGTCAATCATCATCTCACTCTTTAGCTTTTTTGTTTGGTTTGTGGAACGGAATAAATTGATCCATTGCCACCGCATTCCTCATAAGCTAATAATTAGTAGTAGTATGAGGAATGAAGTTATTATACTAAATTTGAGGAATGAACTCATGATGCATCACTCCACCCTGAATGTGTTGACTGTTGATTCTCCAAACCAAACACTTCATAAAAGATCCACTCGGATCCGACTCCTATTCTTGGTAACGAACTAGAAAACAGTCGGATACGATCAGGATTCCTTGATGTAAACTTTACCTTTGGACTATATAAGGAAGGGTAGTGCCCTCTGCATCATCAGTATCTTTGTCTCATAGCAACCAGCCCGCTAGCATCATCGAGACTCTTGTAAACCCAGCACATAGCGCACAGAGAACTATTCCTCATGGTATCCCGTTCCTAAATCAATATAATTCTGTATCATGCGTGCTATCGCTCTGATTTCCTATCTACTTAATGAGTATAAATATGTGTCTTGGATTGTACCCCTTTGATTTTCTACACATAGAGCATTAATTTATTGTCGGACGCTAAGGGAGTGTTCGGCTAGGATGAAATTTTGCACCGTTTATGCTAGAAACACTGTTTATGCTGAAATTTTGTGAGAGAAAAGCACTGCTCCGGCTGGAAAAAAACAAGCCGAACTTGCTCAGCCGAACAACCGATAAATCTTATCTGATCAATCACACCTAAACCTTCCCATATTTATGAGACCTATAGCTTTTATTTGCAACTACTATTCCTAAATTATATAGCAATTCTATCGATGATACATGTGTATTGACACATGTTATTATGAATGAAAAGGTAAGGATATGTGCTCACATCAGCAATTGAATCGTTCTCACTGATTTTTTTTTTCTTGCCAACGAGGGCTCACCAGAACGTATAAATCCAAAACGTTCTTTCTATGTATTACTCCTAAATTTATGTAGACATACACACACACTAGATACTCCTTAAAATGCATATATGTACTTGTCGTGAATTCACGACCAGTGGGTCTATGCTGTCATGGAACCGTGCTCGCTGATTTTTTTTTTCCTTGCCAAATGCCAACGAGGCCTCGCCAAGCCACGCCTCGAGCGATCTCGGCCGCGCCAACGCTTCCCAGTTTCTACCCCCAAAAGGCCAAAAGCCACACGGATCCAAGCCCCTTTCCTCTTCGGGCACCGCGGATGGCCTCCACGCCGGCGGCGCCCGCCGTGGCGCCGTCGCTGGTGGACACCCTCTTCCAGCGCTCCCTAAACGACCTCGTCAAGTCCCTCCGCGCGGACCCGTCGGCCGCCGGCGAGGCCGCGGCCGTCGCCCGCGCGCTCTCCGAGATCCACCGCGAGATCCGCGCCCCCGACGCCGCCACCAAGTCCGTCGCGCTGCAGAAGCTCACCTACCTCTCCACGCTCCACTTCGCCCCCGTCGGCACCCACCCGCTCGCCTTCCCCGCCATCGAGCTCCTCGCCTCGCCACACCTGCCCCACAAGCGCCTGGCCTACCTCGCCGCGTCCCTCTCGCTCCACCCGGCCTCGCTCTCCCTGCTCCCGCTCGCCACGCACCAGCTCCACAAGGACCTCTCCCCCTCCTCCGCTGGCGCCGCCCACCAGCAGCACCTCTCCGCGCTCGCGCTCCAGCTCCTCGCCTCGCCCGCCGCGGCCGCCGCGCCCGACCTCCCCGTCCACCTCGCGCACGACCTCGTGCCGCACCTCGCCCGCGGCAGCCCCGCGCCATCGCCGCCGCCGCACGCGTCATAGCCGCCTCGCCGTCCGCGGCCGTGCCGGTCCTCTTCAAGCCGCTGGCGGCGTGTCTCGCCTCTCCGGATCCTCAGGCGTCCACGGCGGCTGCGGCAGCCTTCTGTGACCTATCGGCGCCCCTGCTGACGCGACCCCTTTCCTGCCGCTCGCGCCCGACCTCTACAACCTGCTCACCACCTCCCGATCCAACTGGGCTCTCATCAAGGTGCTCAAGGTGTTTGCACGACTGGCTCCTCTCGAGCCCCGCCTGGCAGCGAGAATTGTCGACCCGGTCTGCCAGCTCCTCACCCGATCTTCGGCCATGTCACTGACCTTCGAGTGCATCCGCACGGTGCTCACTGCACTGCCAGCACATGATGCCGCGGTCCGCCTCGCCATTGGGAAAGCCAAGGAGTTCGTTGCTGCTGATGACGATCCCAACCTTCGGTACCTTGGGCTTCTGGCTCTTGGTATGCTTGGCCCAGCATATGCATCCACGGTGAATGATTGTCGGGATGCTATTGCGAAGTCACTGGGTGATGCTGACACCAACATTCGCCAGGAGGCGTTGCATCTCATTATGGGGATGGTTAATGAAAACAACATCATGGACATTGCTGGTATGCTGATCAGTCATGTTGCTAAGTCAGACCCAGAGTTTGCAAATGACATTCTTGGGGCTGTTCTAGCAGCATGTGGGCATAATGTGTATGAGATGGTGGTGGATTTTGATTGGTATGTTTCGCTCCTTGCGGATATGGCAAGGACCCTGCATTGTGCCCAAGGGGATGAGATTGGTCGGCAGCTTGTTGATGTAGGACTGAGAGTGCGGGATGCACGGCCAGAGCTTGTCCATTCAGTTCGAACTCTCCTGATTGATCCTGCTTTGCATGGAAATCACTTCCTCTTCCCTGTTCTTTCAGCGGCTGCATGGGTTTCTGGTGAGTATGTGGACTTAACGAAGGATCCTGTTGAGCTTGTTGAAGCACTCTTGCAACCAAGGACCAGCCTCCTGCCAATTTCAGTGAGAGCTGTCTACATCCATGCAGTATTTAAAGTGATTACGTGGTGTTTCAGTGTGTATGTTGGGAGATCGGGTGATTCAGGCATGGCAGTGGATGTCATATTCGACAGGTTAGCTGCTGATCAAACTGTTGGTTCAGAAAGCAATGTTGCACTTGGGTCTGGTGAAGAGCAAGATATTGGGGCGAGCACAGTGCGAAAGGACCCTTTTTCGCATGAATCTATACTTTACATGATTAACCTGATTCAAACAACAGTTGGTCCACTCATTAACTGCAATGAAGTAGAAGTCCAGGAGAGAGCACACAACCTGATTGGTTTTGTCCATTTAGTAAGAGAAATTCAAGAGTTGAACAAAAGGAAGGTTGCTGATGGTGACAAGCCAAGCAGGTTAGAAGAGCTTGTTAAGACTATGCGGACAGTATTCTGTCAAGAACTAGGTCCTGTTTCTGTGAATGCACAGATGAAAGTGGCCACTCCAGATGGCCTTATCCTGAATGAAAATCTTGTTGAACTTGCTGGCATTGTGAGTGAAGATGATACTACTCCCTCAACTTCAATCTTTTTCTATCCTTGCAGTCGTCATTCTGTAGATACCAGAGACGAGCCTGCAGTGTCAATTGGTTCGTCTTCTCTTTCTGAGCATCGCAAGAGGCATGGACTCTTTTATCTACAAACAGGGAAAACTGAGGACGAGCCAAATGATTACCCTCAAGCTAACAATTCTCTACCATCTTCTAGCAATAATTCTGTTAATGATGACAAGTTGAAGACTGCTGAACTTGTATTTGCTGGGAAAAAGTCGACGGCCACGAAATCTAGACCAAAAGTAGTTAAGTTGGATACTGAGGATTTCCTCAGTTCTATGATGCCTGGTGCAAATGTTCCAAAAGAAGACCCCTTGTCTGGTGCTCTACGTGATGTGCTCTTGGGTAGTGATGCTAAGGCATTGTCTTCACAAAGGGCTTCAGATATAAACTTGGAAGGAATGCTAAACAAAACAAGCAGTAATGAATCTAGCTCTCAGCAGATAGAGAATTTAGGAAGCCATCCTGCTTCACGTTCTAGTAGTAGAACAAGTAAGCAACAAGACCATGATAAAGAGAAAGGTACAAATCCTCCTGAAAGTGATGGCAAAGAACCAAGAAAGCACAGAAGCTCTGGTAGAAGTGGACATCGTCAAGGAAAACATAAGCATAGAGAAAAGTCTAGTACTCAGCCTGATACTATACCTCAAGCTCCAGTCATTCAAGATTTCCTTCTATAGCATCTGAGAGACTCATTTGGTACACTTCAGTTACCCAATATATGTGGATTTTTGTTCCTTAAAGTTGAGTGCATTTCATTCTCTTTTGATCTGTGGTGCTGTGTAGTCTTTGATCTGTTACTGGTCATGCTGTTTCATGTCTATCTTTGTCATAGCACTTGATGCAGTTTGCTCTTTGATAGGTCTATTGAAATATGTTAGTTCGTACGTCATACTGTAGAGAGCCAGACAGTTTTTATTTACTCTCTTTACGTGTACTTCTATAACCCTCCCATCTACCTCTCAAAATTGTGGAAGTCAGGCTCTGTTTGGCAACCACCTAGATTATATAATCTGGGTGGTAGGCAAATAGGGCAGATTATATACAGGTGGATTATGATGGTAGATTATATAATCTCAACAAGCTGTATTGGGGGTAGATTATCTGATTATATAGTATATCAATTATCAACCTACAGTTTTTTTTTTGAATAAAACCTACAGGTTATATAATCTAGGGGTTGCCAAACAAGGCTATGCACCAATACTTGCTGGCTATGTAAAACTTCAAATACACATTAACTTACCATGGTATAGCATTGCACATCAATAAATCTATTTCAAATTGACTTATTGAATGTGTGGGGCTTATTTTTGCATAATTTAAATTGAAACATACAAACATTTCTTAGCTGTTAAGTAAGATGGGCTACTATTATAAGTGAGCCAGCCATATTACACAATCGAAATGAGGAGATACCGAAGCACTTTAATTAGTGACTTAAATCTGCGCAAGGTGTTTTTGACAAGATTCTTAAACCATGTTGTGTTGCAGGACATGGAAATGGAAATTAGAAGCCACACTTTTCCATAACTGCATTGTTCTGAGTTAGTACCATGATTATACAAAAGAAGATTTTTTAGTTTGAACACACGATACAACTGTTAAGGTTCTACGGAAATTTAGTATAGCGTTCGTTTCAGGTTTCCTCCAGTTACCAGAGTTAGATATCGGCATTGCTACAGAATCCAAAAGTTCACAACAGGGAAATTTCTTTGGTTCGTAGGCTATTTTTTATTGTTCGGAAACATAAAGTGAATTCTGAATGACGTTCGAACAGGGCGTTTGAATGTTGCTTCAATTCTGTTGTTCCTTTTTTTTTTTTTGATGTAGAAAGAAATTAAGCAGGCAGTTCCTTAAAGGCGATGCATATGGAGATTTCTCTTCATAGGTGGTTCTCATAAGGAATGGGCTACTGTAATCCAGATGCATTTTAGCACTGAACGTTTCCACATCTTTTAGCTTGTGCCCAAACCTGGCTAAGGCTATCTCTAACAACAACACCCAAAATATAAGACCTATTCGTCTTTTGGGTAGCGTTACAGGTAAAAGGTTCAATGCCTATTCGACATCTTCTCTAACAACAAGACCCGAAAGAGAATCCTTTTTGTAAATGGATTTTCAGGAGAGAGGATGTCCATATTTGGGTTGTGCCTCTCAGGTAACCCAAAATAGGTCTTTTGTATATGTACTCTAGTGAAGGCTGATTTTAGATCTCTTACTACTCATTTTAGGTTTAAGTGTTTATATGGGTTCTTGGACGGTCTAAGCAACCCAAACACCACGCAACGTACATAACATGATGTTATCCTTCCGTTACAAATTACAGTCATTCTAGCAAAGCAGCGAGCGAGGTACGAGCAATTAACCAGATCCTACAGCGACTTCAATCTCCGTGTGCTCGCATGCATGTATATCATAACTCTACCCAAGCATGTTGCTGCTAATATTAATCACTGTCACAAGGTCGAGTGCCGCTTGCTGCTCGCCGCCAGCCAAAGCCGCGGCCGCCGGTCGCGGTCCTTGCTCCGGGTGCCCTGGCTTGCTCGAGCACCGCAAATTTGTCCTTACGTGCCGAGTGCCCCTGGGCAGGGCCAGGTGCTCGCCGCCCTGGTGCCCTGGCATGCTGCATTCACGAAGGACGGACCAAACATATGGGCGTTTTTTGAAATTTAAAAATGGGTTAAAATAAACGTTTCGTTTTTTATTATTAGAGTAGCAAACATGTCTATGTGTTGCAACGGAGTTGCGTGACCATCTGAACGACTTGTGTCTTAGACATTTATGCAATGGTCACGTCATTTGTTTCAATATGTATTGAAGGACGCGTGTGGGAAAAGGCCACGACCGAAAGCAGTGCGTAGCCAAGCAGGGTTGAGTAAATGGGCCGTGTGGTTGGACCGAAATAGGATGGACCGGCCCAAAAAAAAGTAAATAAATTTTGGCTTTTCACGATTTTATAGGTCTTCATTTCAAATTTATACAGATTTTTCAAAACTGAACTGATTTGATCACTTTCAAAAAAAATAGAAATGCTAGTAGCAGCTTTTTCATCGGAAACCCTGGATTCGATATAATTACTATGATCTGACCTTTTACTATTAAACTCTCTCATAAGTTTACCAAGAACCACCAGGCTTTTACTCATTTCCCATCTGCAATCCCTTATCTATTCCTCACGCACGAACAGAGCAGTCCCTTGCGGACGCAATCTGCGCGGCGACCGCGGCTCGGCCGGCCGGCAGCGTGCTCGCGGGCGAGCACCGAGCAGCGGAGCCCCTATACTACGTGTATGCGCATATCTAGGTGACGGAGGTGTGGCCCGGGGTGCACCATGGCATGGCTAGCCACGGGCGACGACCATGGCCGTGCAGTTCACCGCCGTGGCGATGGTGTTCCGGCCAAATAGGACACGGGAAGGACGGGATGAAGGCTCGGGGAGCTAGAGTAGCTTACCACGGACTCGGCTACGGCACTGGAGGGGACAGTCGTGGCTCGAGGAAGGCTGGCCGCGTGCGTGCGAAGGGGCGGTCAGTGCGCCGAGACTGGCAAGGCGGCGTCACGTCATCGCCGGCCCTGTCTCCGTCCGAGGCCGCGAGCACGTCGAGTTCGTGAGGCTAAGGGAGGGCCATGACACAATTTAATTTGAACCAGATCGAGGAACGGGGCTTACCTTTGTCGGGGACTAACAGTATGGTACATGAAGAGAAGAAGTTTATAACCATCAACATTCATTCATCCGAAACAGTTAAGAGCGCGACTACAACTCCAACCGACCGCTAGGTGCGCAAGTTCCGCCTCGTCCGGTCTCTGGGGGCGGGCTCCGCCTCGCTCAACACTGAGGCCGTGGGCTCCGTCTCGCCCGACCTCTGAGGACGGGCTCCGCCTCGCCCGACACCGAGGCCGCGGGCTCTGAGGGCTGGCTTCGCCTCGCTCGGCCTCTAGGGACGGGCTCCGCCTCGCCCGACCTCTGGGAGGCGGGCTCCGCCTCGTCCGACCCTTAGGTTTATGCTCCGCCTCGTCCGACCCTTGTGTTTGTGCTCCGCCTCGCACGACATCTGAGGATGGGCTCCGCCTCGCCCGACACCGAGGCACGGGCTCCGCCTCGCCTGACCTCTGAGGGCTGGCTCCGCCTCGCCCGACCTCTAAGGGCGGGCTTCGCCTCGCCCGACCGTTGGGTTTGCGCTCCGCCTTGCCTGACCTCTGAGGACGGGCTCCGCCTCGCCCGACACCAAGGCCGCGGGCTCCGCCTCGCCCGACCCTTGGGTTTGCGCTCCGCGTCGCTCGGCCTCAGGGGGGGACTCCGCCTTGATCGACCCCGAGGCTGGGGGATCCGTCTCGCCCGACAGAGACCCATACCGCCGCCAACCACTCCAGATCCAAGCGAATGGGCCTGGGTCAAAGCTCTGACACCAGGGAGGTGACCGACATGCCCCGATATAACCCGTGGCTATGACGGGCCATACCTAGAGATTCACATCAGGAACAGCGTCGAGCGTACCGGTGTTGTTCTGCCTTACCCTCGTACGAGCACTAACATACGCGTCAATTCACCACGACGTCCGCCGGGATGGAGTGGAGCGCCACAACCGGGAGACGATGCCTGCGCATGGCGCCAGTGACGGACATGGCCGCGGTGTGGAGCTGTCCCTGTTGACGTCCACAGGGTCTGTGGGACCCGCGTGAAAGAAAAGGACCCGGCGATCCTGGAGGACTTCTCCTTCTCCTTCTTCTCTTTTCCCTCTACTATAACCCATGCTTTCCCTTGGCCTATAAAAGGGAAAGCATGGTGTCACATAAGGGGCATCGCAACACATCGCATCAATTCAGACTCGAATCCATCGAACCCCGAACCGATCAGAACACACAAGCACACAGCCGGGAAGCGATCGAGCTCTCGGCACCCGTTCGCTCCTCTCACCAGAGACTTGGGACCTGTCCCTCTCTCGACCGTTTATAACCCCTACTATGAACTTTTAGTGCTAGTAACACGAGCAGCAGCAACGAACTGGACATAGGGACATTCTGCCCGAACCTATATAAACCTCGTGTCCTCTTAGCACATCATCCGAGCCAGACACGTAATATTAGAAATTTACTAGTCGGTGGCAACTCGAAACACCGACAGTTGGCGCGCCAGGTAGGGGCCTTTTGCGCGTCTTGACATCCACACTAGGCCTTAGATGGCTAGTCACAACGTCAGCTGGGTCCCGGGCACACGCGTGCGCTTTGGGGACCTAGACTTCATCGTCACGACGGAGGGAAAGTTGGCAATGGCTCCCGCCGCTGTCTGACCTCTCCACTCCGCCGTTCTCGATGCAATCGCCGAGGCACTTGAGGAGCTGCAGCTGCACGCACCGAAGGCCCGTGCCCCCAGAAGCGACCAGCTCCTCGACTTTGACTATGGGAGGTTAGAGCGCCAGCTCAGCGCCTTCCTAGGATCCCGACCGTCCCGGGAGGACCTACGCCACCTCACCTTCTTGTTCGCCAACGTTATGGCATAGCTTGCCGGAGGGAAGCTGCTCTCTCCGGAATACTCCATCCGGAGCGCCCCGACAGCACTCCTGTTCGGTCTCCGCAACGCCGCAGAGACCGTTGGCCACCTTGTGGCGCAACGCACGCCTCCTTTCCCCGTGAACAACGAGTTCATAGGGATGACTGAATATGTTGTGGAGTTTTT